TATATTAATCTGTATATATTATAGATAACTTAATTCTTATATAAATAACAATTCTATATTTGAAGTATTTAAATTAACAACAGACTAATAAAATATGGTATAAATTTCGAGACTATAGTAATTATAAAAAATTCTATCAAATTATTAAGCATACCATAAGATCCATGTAAAAATTACTATCATTAATTGATGTTAATTTCGTTTATTCGTTTTTAATATAATATTAATTTTATGAAGGTATAACTAATTATCCTTCTTCTGTTTTATTTGGTTACTTGCAAAAACATACCATTATAATTAGAGATTGGGTTAATTCAATTTGAAGATCTTTAGCCTGGAAAACTATAATATTAAGTATGACAAATTGCAAATGAAAAATAAAGGAAATATAATTTGATCAGCCATTTATCCGTGTCCCTTAGGTTGCATTAACAATTAATAGTCTAATGAATCATAATTCTTAGGTGTATTTCAGTAAGATTTACAATGTAACAACTGATGGTACTCTTTTTTAAACTAAATTTAGGATTTACAATAGGAGTTTTGAGTGGAACAGAATAATAATTAGAATATCGTTATATGGCTATCGTTGATGATAGAGTATAAGTGAATTGTTTGAATTTTAAAGTCAAAGAAATTGTGTTCATACCTTATTTAAAGTATTTGCATCTAAAATCTCTAGATAGTTTGTCAAAGTACCTAAATCATGGGTTTTCTTAACTGGAGTAAGATAATAAAGCAATACCTTCTCATTTTAATAGGGTATCCTCAACTAATCTAAAAATTAGATATCAGAAATGAAGGAATCATGCTTAAATTCCAATCCATAGATACAGAAATATTGGGAGTTTGTGTTGTGGCTGGTGCTGTTGATATTCTATAATCTAGAATCGATGATTTACCAACATTCTAAGGATATAACCTAATGAAATAATCTACATCTTTATCAATTATAGCATAATCAACATTTATTTGTGAAGATGAATGTTTATTATACTTTAGTAATTCTTATTATAAGTTAGGAAATGATTAAACTAAACAATTAAAAATTAGTACTGAATTTCATAATTAATAAGAAAAACCAACTTTATCAAAATTCATACCATTAATAAAAGAAAATCTTACAGTTACTAAAGATAAAGTTGAAAATTTAATAGAATAGAAAATTAAAATAGATAAAATTGAATAGCCACACATATCTCATGAAGATAGTTTAAAAAAGATGATAAATCAATAAATTTTAAATTTGGAAGAATAAATAAATCATCCTAATGGAATTAATAGTTTTGATTCAAATCTTAATGAGATATCTTAATAAGAAGATATTTAGAGTGTTATTGAAAGTGATAGTGAAAGTGAAAATGATATAGAAAGTGAATCAGAAGATGAGATTACTAAAATTAGAATTTCAAAACCAATTAATATTGAAGAAGAATTATAAAAATTGGAAAAAATATCAGAAGATAGAACCAAAAAGATTAACATCATTGAATTTAATCCAAAAGAATCCATTAATGTTTCATTTTTATCTAAAAATAATATTGATATGCAAGTAGAAAGTTAAGCTGAAAAACTTATTGAATTAAAATATATTGATAGAGCTCCTAAGTTTTCACCTAAAATTTAATAGATGTTTGAAGAAGCCAAAAAGAATATTGAAGTTGAATAATCAACAATAGATAAAGTAGAATCTAAAATAAATAACAAATTATCAATAAAAGATTAATTAAAATTAAAGACTGAAAATTTAATGAAATAAATTGAAAATACTTAATATACTAATGAAAAAGATATTAATCAATAATTCAATAATAAAATTGAACAATAAATTTAAGAAATTCCTAATCCATTTAAAGAAGAATAAAGAATAAATTCTCCAAATAATGAAATAAAACATTCTAAATAAACAATTCTAAATGAATATGATACAATTTTTGCTTAATTTGCTAATAACAATAATTTAAGATCTGTAAAACCATAATAACATTTTTCTAGTCCATTGATTGAAACAGAAATAAAAATTGAACTTGTTTAAGAAGAGTAGAACATTGAACCTAAATAAGAATTAAAAATTCTTAATCCAAGAGAAGAAAGACTATAAAAATATTTGTAAAAAGCTGATGAAGTTGATCTCAATTTCTTAGAAAATATTAAACTTGTTTCAGAATAGAGTGAATAATTATAAGATCAACAAATAGAACAAGAATAAATATAAGATGTCTTTGATTAATCCAATGTATCATATACTGAATAATTAAATTTAAGAAAAAGTATATATTTATAATTTATTAAATAGATTAAATTCTTTAGGAACTTTAATAAAAATACAATATTAAAGCTACTCCAATTTAAAGCTTTGAAGAGTTTAAATTAAAAGTACCTTAAGATCAGTATCCACAAATATTATATGAGAAATATCTTGAATAATTGAAAAAACAACAGATAGGATCCAGCTTTATTGAAACTGATCACAATGTAAGATCTGTTGAAAATTCATATTAACTTGAAGCAGCCTATTATGAATGGCATTTATAAAAAAATATATGAGTAGATAAATTATCTATTCAATTATCAGTATTTTTTAATAATAAATTATATTATAATATAATGAGTTAATATTTTAATTGCAAATACTACTATTGTACTAAAAGTAATAATTATTTATTTTAGAACTTAATATAAAATTGTTTACTCTTTAATAAAATAGAAGATATCCTATATGATAATTCAACTATTTTATCATTTGAATTGTACATCTATAAATAAATTAAAGTTGCCATAATTAAATTGAATTGAAAACTTAAAGAGAACTGAAATCTTGTTAAAAATGATAATAATATTTACTAGTACTGTATTTATATTAAAAAGTAATTTTAGTATATGATTAAGAATATTAGAATAATTTAGAATTGAAGTAAGGATAAATTGAAGATTAATGATAAATATCACATAAATGATGATTAAAAAAGTATATAGCACAACAACACTATAATGAGATTGTTTAAGTTAAAAATATAACTGGAATTTAAAAATGAATATAAATTATAAATATCATGAAATTGTATTCAAATAATTTCAATCGATAAAAATAAATATGCTCGATTTAAGTAATTCAGGAATGTTTTTCTAAACATTAAATGTATGAAGAAATTGGTAAAATTTAATAAACTATAAATTTCATTATAAAACACTTTGCTACTAATATTCTGAATGCTGTAGTTAATAATGAATTAATAATACAGTATTTTATATTTTATTTATGCAAACTGAGAGGAAGGAAGGAAAGCTAGCTGGTAGTTGCGAGATGGAGGATTTAATTAGTAACGTTTAGTATGATATTGTTAAAGTATACCCTTTTGAAGTAGTAAATCAGCATTTTAGTAATTTTGTTGAAAATTCAAAGGAGTTTTAAGAGACAAGGGAATAGCTGGTAAGAATAGGTTCCAATCTTCGATTAAAAGTAGATGATTGGCCATCAATTGAGGAAGCAAAAATGTTATTCTAATTAAATATGTATAGAAATTGATCAACTTAATTAAAGTTAGAATGCTAAGAGAAGAAGTGTAAAATGGAATGATTAAGATAAAAGATTATTTTATTGGGTGGTTATCAGATATTGTTTATTAAAAGAAATCAATTAACTTGTAATTAAAATTATTCTTAAAACTAAGACACCTGTTGAATGGAGAGATATAGCTAAAATGACTATAGGTCGGAATGCTCATTAATGTAGATTGAAATGGGAATAGAAATATAAAATTTCACTTTCAGAGGCTCCATGGACAGAAGAAGAGGATTAATTACTATAATAAGTGCATGAGTACTAATTAAGCAATATCTTAAAGAGAATTTAGTAGATTAGGAAAAGAAAATAAATGGTCTTAAATAGCAAGAGAGATATACAAGAGATCTCCTAATAAAATATTTAGATAACCAAAATAATGTAGAGAGAGATGGATTAATAGATTAGATCCAAATATTTGCAAGTAATGAGATGATTAAATTTGAAGTGAACCTTGGTCAAAATAATAGGAAATTGATCTATTAAAAACCATTTTAATTAGAGGAAAGAAATGGTCTGAATTGTCTGCTCTATATGGAAGAGTGAGAACAGAGAATTCTCTTAAGAATAAGTATAATTCTCTTTTAAAAAAAGAGAAATTAAAATATGAATTTGAAACGATTAATCCATAATTATTTTCAAAAGTATAAAAATTAAGGATGGATTATGCAAATAAATATGGTAAAATAACACCAATTGAAGAGATTGATAATTATGAATGGTAGTTTATAGTATTGGCAATTTAAAGTTTATATATTGATTTATGTGTTTCAGAAGGTAAATATTAAGAAGCATAGAAAATAAAAAATGATGATTTTTTTGATTTATTTCATAATGATTTAACATCAAGCAATAAGAATGATGTATTATACAAAAAAGTATTAAATATAAAAAGAGTGGATAATCAATTTTCTGTAGATAATGATAGGTCTGGTGTAGTACTTTTTAATAAGAAAACAAAAAAGTTATTTATATCACCATTTAATACATTAGATTATTAAGGATTAATATTAAAACATATATACAAATAAATAAAAACAGAAGAGAATAATAATAATAGTAAATGTTCAACTCTAACTTAATCTGATCATAATATGTTTATGATGTAAAAATCTATAGATGATATAAATCGATAAAGCACAATGCAACCATTATTATTATTGGCTAATTAACCATCATTTATGATGCCATTAGGATAAAGCATGATAAATAGTTATTGGTTACCACCTGTATTACCTTGTATGTCATAATCTATTGGAGGATATTAGCATTAATAAAAGAATATTTAAGAATAAGTGGCTTAAAAAATTAAAGAAATTAATAAACCAACAAGTTTTGATGATTTATTTGGTAATGATATCAAAGTTGTAGATTCTGATGGAGAAAAATGATAAATTTATGATCGTTAATCTTTTATTTTAAATAAATATATATTTTTATGTCCTCCAAGGATGAAGAACTTGAAGAGATGCTTATGAGATATGAGAATCTTGAGAAGCACAATTAACTATTGCAAACTCAAAATTTAAATTTGATGAATCAATTACAAAATATATAGCAAGTATGTGGAATCCTTATAATATTAAGACTGCTAAGTAATTAGAAACAGAAAACAATGAATTAATTGATTAAATTGAGAATTTAAAGAATGATTTACGAACTCAATTTTAACTTAGTCAAAGTTTGAGATAAGAGAATGAATTCTTTGAAAATTAATTACAAGATTATAGAAAAGAATTAGAGTAAGGAGGTCAATACTATCATAAATTATTAGAAGACAATGACTAATTTAAAACACATCTATAGCAAAAAAATTAATAAATTGAATATTTGACACAAGAGAATAATATGTATAAGGATTAAATGCTCCAATTATAAGAGGAAAATGATTTGATTACATAAGAAATAACTAACTTACATGATTTACTTAATCAAAATGAACTTTATCATCAAGATCCTATAAATATCTAAAATTCTGATTAAAAGAAAAATAAAAAATAGAATAGAAGATAAATAAAAGAATTAGAGAGATTAGTAATTAAAAGAGAATAAGAATTAAGTCATTTATATGGTAAGATTGAGGATATGAAAAATTATATTACATAAATTAAACTTCAATCTGATAAATATGAATAAAATTTATAACAACTATATAAAGATTATTAATAAATGGAAGCAGAAAGAAATAAATATGCTCATAAAATTGATTAGATGTAAAATTATAATGAAAGATATTCAACTTTATAATAATAGTTATAAAATTAAGAGAAACATAAAAATAAAGAATATCATTCATTAAAAAATTAATATGATCAATTATAAATGCATAATTTGTAATATTAATAATAAATACAAAGTATAAATGATGAATATGGAAAATTATCCTAATAATGTATAGATTTATAAGAATTAAATGAATAATATATGCAAGAATCTTAAATTTTAAAAGATTCTTTAATTGAAAAGGATTAGAAATTAGAAAGAATGTAATTACAACTATAACAATTATAATAGAAAGATCTTTAAATTTAATAATAAATGAGAGATCAAAATTAATAGATTAAAGAATTCTAAAATAATAAATAGGAATTTTAGAGTTAGATAATATAATTATAAAGAGATAATTAATAATTTTGTAATTAGATAAATACATTAAAAGAATTATAATCTAAAGAACTTAAAGAACATCTTAATATTTAAGAATAATTTAAAAAAGAAAAGTAAACTTTAATAGATAGAATAAAGATGTAAGATGAAAAAAATTAAGAATTAGAAATTAAATATAAAAATATTGAAATACATTTAAAATAAATTGAAGAAGAAAGATTATATAGAGTTTAAGCTGAATAGTATTATTTTTCTATATTATTAGATCTTTTGAGGAAGTGTCTTAATAATGTATGTAATTATAAGATTAAAATAGAGATCTACTTAGATAAGTAGCTAATCTTGAAAATGAATTATAAAGAAATGAAGATGAATTAAAGTAACTAAAAAAAAATAATAAAAAGTATTTATATAGGTTAATACAAGTTCTTAGAATTTTGATAAAACAACTTAGTAATTGATATTAAAAGATAGGGAAATTTTACATCTCTAATCAGTAGTAGAAAGATTAGAGGGTATGAATAGACAATTATAATAAGAATGTGATAGATTGGCTGCTAAAATTTAATTAACATCTCATGAGAATTCATTATTGAGTAAGACAAATAGAGAAATTAATTAAATGGGTCGTTTAATTTTAGAAGGTTAATAGATAAAAGAAATGTTAGAAAAGAAAAAATATGAAAAACCTTTAACAATTACTAATAATAAAGCTCCTTAAGTTATTCAATAATTATAATAACATAGTAGACGACCATCTGTTAAAAAATCTTGAGATATTTTTGAATTAGTTTGATTTATATTTATATAAGTATAACTTTTTCATTATTTTTTGTTCACAAATATTGAAGATTAAATTTTATTTATTTAAGGCTCTTCATTTATATTTTGTAAATCCTACTATCCAAATGATATAAAGCTGATTTATTATTGATTGAAGATTTCAGATGTTGCTTAATATTCAGAAGGTAGAATTTATGAATTTCTAATAATTATTTATTTACATTAATACCTTTATGTTTCAATTAATCTTTGACTAAATATTGGAAAGTTGAGAATTTCAGATTAAAGCAATGAATTTTATATAGTTTAATCTAAATCCAGATCTGTTTTTAGAATTATAGAACTTCTATTTAAATTTTATACAGAGTTTATTTGATCGTCTAATCTTTTTAAGCTACTCAAATAATAAACATTAGGTCTGTCAATTTATAGGAAATCCATCACCTATGCTTATCATTTAAGAATAATACTTAAAAAGCACTTTCTAAATCAAAGCCTTTAATGATCATATATGCACATACAATAGCATTTGATAAACCATCTGATGAATAATTTATTTGAACATCATTAACAGAAATATATTAATCTATTTATTTACTTGTATTTTCATAAATGGATAAGAAATCATGATTATTATTATTATTAAATGAGAATGATAATGGCTGTATCTAAATAGACTTTTCATGTAGTTTTTTATTTTCAGTTCGAATAAAATAAAAGAAAAATTTATGCTTCTGGTATATTTTTACTTCTTCTTTTATAATTAGGGAGGAATTCATCATATTTTTTTATTAAATTTATTAATAAAATATTAATTATTATTATTGAACATAATAATGAAATCATTCCATTTGCTTTTCTTTTTTAAAATATTAAAATTATTATTTTTACTCTTCTTTTCTTAGCTTTCTTTATTGAATTGCTCTTTCATTAATTTTTTCCATATATTCACTAAATGAAATAGCCTTTTCTTCTCCATCTTTGTTTTTCTCCTCATCTCCAAAAATGGCATGTATTTCTGAATCTAAACATTATCTACCAAATCTAACATATAAGAGTTCCAAAGTGTCCTCATTTTATAAATTAATATTTATACTTCAACTGTTACTCTTGGGTCTTTTCTATCTGGTGGTAAATACATTAAAAATTAAATCATATGAAACAAACTCTTAGGTTCAAGACCTGTCTTATCAATTGTACATTTTTTGTACATATTCAAAAATTCAGTCCAACTAACTTTTCCATCTAAATTTTCATCAACTTCCTAAATTTATTATAAATTTTATTGTTTACCCATAACATAAGATCTATTTCAGATTTAGTAAGTGAAACACCTAAAAATCTAAGCATTTTATCAATATCTTTGGCATCAAAATAATCAACATCCTTTTTTTTAAGCATTTAGAATACTCTAAAGTTAACAATTTAAATTACTTTTCTAACTACTTTTTTTCACTAGCTTTGATTTCTATCCCTTCTAATTTTTATTCAATAGGTTATTCTTTTTCAATCTTTTTCTGTTTCATTCTTTGCACATCAACTTAGAGATTAGCTTTAGGAATTTAAGGTTTAGGTAGTATTCCCATAGCTGCATAACGTTCTTTCATTGATGAAGGTAACAGATTTAAGTCTATTTTGTTACCTTTTTTCTTCTTTTTTTCATCATCCATTTTTGTAATAATAATTATAATTACATTAATATATATATGAACAAAATTGTGTAAATTTTTCATCAATGCAAACAAATATATAGGTTTATTTTTTATTAATTACTATTAAAAATACTTAAGTAGTAATTACATTATATTAATTGTCTTAAGTACATAACAAAAGATAAATATAAAATAATATCATTATTCAATTATATAAAAGATATGATATAATTCCTACATTAAGTTATTTTTATAGTATCTAGAATACTTAAGGAATTTTAGAATAATATTAATAAAAGATAAAGAATATATATATTTAACTCAAAAGGGGGGAGATTATATTTGATTAATTAATATTATATTGTATTATTAACAACAAATAATTCAACGTCTTGATTATTTTCCAATACCACTTTTACCAGTAAATAAGTGCTTAGGCATTTTACAATCTATTTTAGTATCACCATCACCAGCTTTAGCTTCATTTCTTCTTCTTCTTTATATTTTTTTAGACATTCTTTCCATAGCCTATAATATTTAAAATGATATATTTACTTATTCTTAAGCAGTAAGTACTTTTTTATTACCTCTACTTCTACTTCTTGAGATTTCTCTAAGTCTACTTCTACTTCTAGATAAAGCATCTCTTCCTTTTCTTTGATTTCTATCATTACCTTCAATATCCATATCATTATCATCACTATCATCTGATGATTATTATTATCTTTTTTATTTTTATAAAACTTTTTTTGCAGCAAATTTCTATGCTCTTTATTCTAAAAAGGTAGTATCAATTCCTTTTTTAGCAAAATCTTCTTTTGCATCTTCCAAATTTGGTCTATGTAATTTAACTTATTATTTCATCTTCATATGATGTTCTTCTTTAATCATTTCTCTTTTTTTATTAATTTAATCTCTTGTATTTAATAACATCTCTTCTCTTTCATCTTCTTCTGGATCTTCAATTTCAGCTTAATCCATCATTTCCTCTTCCTTTTCTAATTCTTCTAATCTTTATAAAATATCAGCATCAACAAAATCTCCAATATTTTTACCATCCATAATTTCAGGAACAGCATCATATTTCCAATCTGGATTTTCTAATAAAAAATGTTCTATTAAATTAATTAATATATATTTATACCTTATAATGGGAATGAGAAAACACCAGCACCACCATTTTATTCTTATACATCTTTCAATGTTGGTCTATTTAATTTACCCATTACTTAAGGAATTACTGGCATTCTATTTTGATTAACTCTTTTAGGTTAAGCAATGTAGACNAAATTTTTCATCAATGCAAACAAATATATAGGTTTATTTTTTATTAATTACTATTAAAAATACTTAAGTAGTAATTACATTATATTAATTGTCTTAAGTACATAACAAAAGATAAATATAAAATAATATCATTATTCAATTATATAAAAGATATGATATAATTCCTACATTAAGTTATTTTTATAGTATCTAGAATACTTAAGGAATTTTAGAATAATATTAATAAAAGATAAAGAATATATATATTTAACTCAAAAGGGGGGAGATTATATTTGATTAATTAATATTATATTGTATTATTAACAACAAATAATTCAACGTCTTGATTATTTTCCAATACCACTTTTACCAGTAAATAAGTGCTTAGGCATTTTACAATCTATTTTAGTATCACCATCACCAGCTTTAGCTTCATTTCTTCTTCTTCTTTATATTTTTTTAGACATTCTTTCCATAGCCTATAATATTTAAAATGATATATTTACTTATTCTTAAGCAGTAAGTACTTTTTTATTACCTCTACTTCTACTTCTTGAGATTTCTCTAAGTCTACTTCTACTTCTAGATAAAGCATCTCTTCCTTTTCTTTGATTTCTATCATTACCTTCAATATCCATATCATTATCATCACTATCATCTGATGATTATTATTATCTTTTTTATTTTTATAAAACTTTTTTTGCAGCAAATTTCTATGCTCTTTATTCTAAAAAGGTAGTATCAATTCCTTTTTTAGCAAAATCTTCTTTTGCATCTTCCAAATTTGGTCTATGTAATTTAACTTATTATTTCATCTTCATATGATGTTCTTCTTTAATCATTTCTCTTTTTTTATTAATTTAATCTCTTGTATTTAATAACATCTCTTCTCTTTCATCTTCTTCTGGATCTTCAATTTCAGCTTAATCCATCATTTCCTCTTCCTTTTCTAATTCTTCTAATCTTTATAAAATATCAGCATCAACAAAATCTCCAATATTTTTACCATCCATAATTTCAGGAACAGCATCATATTTCCAATCTGGATTTTCTAATAAAAAATGTTCTATTAAATTAATTAATATATATTTATACCTTATAATGGGAATGAGAAAACACCAGCACCACCATTTTATTCTTATACATCTTTCAATGTTGGTCTATTTAATTTACCCATTACTTAAGGAATTACTGGCATTCTATTTTGATTAACTCTTTTAGGTTAAGCAATGTAGACACCTTAAAGAATTGATTCTTCTCTTAAAAGATTTGGATTTCCACCTGTTAATTATTCAGGTTTAAGATTCTATCTCCATTCATTTAATAAACCACAAGCTTTTTCTTTTACTAAAGCTATTCCTTCACCTGATTTATTACTCAATTAAGAACTATATAATAGATTTTAAATTAATACTAGAACACATTTTCAGATTGAATAACATCTTATAACTTTTATTAATCAATTGGATCTAATTATTCAAATTTTTTAATATCTATTTTAGTCATAACTAATAATAATGGTTTATTTTTGAAGAGTGGTTTTAAGTCTTTGAATAATGCTATCTATTGATCAATAGAATAACTGCATGTTTCTGAGATATCCAAGAAAAACATAATACAGGCCTTTAAATGTGCAAGTGCTGTTATTGCTTACATTTCAATAGGGTTTCTTTCACTTAATGAATGATCCAAGACTCCTGGAGTATCTATTACTTACCAACGAACAAAGTTATAATCAGTATGTCCTACATAAAGATTTTAAGTTGTAAATGGATAGGGTTGAACATCCAAATTAGCATTTGTTATATTATTTACAAAACTACTCTTTCCAACATTAGGGAATCCAGTTACTAAGAGAGTTCTTTCAAAGGGATTAATAGCTGGCATTCTAGATAAGTGTTTTCTAACTTCATCTAAATAATTAAGAGAACTGGTCAATTTTTTAAGTGTGGTACACATACGACCTAATGCTGCTCTCTTTAACATTTTGCATCTGTACAAGGAATCACCATATTTTAACAATCTACAATAATCTTTAGCAATATTATCAATCACATTTCTACAAGCATGTACATGTCCCAATGCCAATTTATAATGATCTTTGTCATACAATACATTAATCAAATCTGCATAAAATGGATGAATATCATCTAACTATATTATATAATAATATCAAATACTTTTGGAAAGTCTTGTAAAATGGTATCTATCTTCTCATGAATGGTTTCTTATGTAAATTTTACTTTTCTCATATAAAATCCTCTAATTCTAGATATATCATATCCAGGATGNATAATGGGAATGAGAAAACACCAGCACCACCATTTTATTCTTATACATCTTTCAATGTTGGTCTATTTAATTTACCCATTACTTAAGGAATTACTGGCATTCTTTTTTGATTAACTCTTTTAGGTTAAGCAATGTAGACACCTTAAAGAATTGATTCTTCTCTTAAAAGATTTGGATTTCCACCTGTTAATTATTCAGGTTTAAGATTCTATCTCCATTCATTTAATAAACCACAAGCTTTTTCTTTTACTAAAGCTATTCCTTCACCTGATTTATTACTCAATTAAGAACTATATAATAGATTTTAAATTAATACTAGAACACATTTTCAGATTGAATAACATCTTATAACTTTTATTAATCAATTGGATCTAATTATTCAAATTTTTTAATATCTATTTTAGTCATAACTAATAATAATGGTTTATTTTTGAAGAGTGGTTTTAAGTCTTTGAATAATGCTATCTATTGATCAATAGAATAACTGCATGTTTCTGAGATATCCAAGAAAAACATAATACAGGCCTTTAAATGTGCAAGTGCTGTTATTGCTTACATTTCAATAGGGTTTCTTTCACTTAATGAATGATCCAAGACTCCTGGAGTATCTATTACTTACCAACGAACAAAGTTATAATCAGTATGTCCTACATAAAGATTTTAAGTTGTAAATGGATAGGGTTGAACATCCAAATTAGCATTTGTTATATTATTTACAAAACTACTCTTTCCAACATTAGGGAATCCAGTTACTAAGAGAGTTCTTTCAAAGGGATTAATAGCTGGCATTCTAGATAAGTGTTTTCTAACTTCATCTAAATAATTAAGAGAACTGGTCAATTTTTTAAGTGTGGTACACATACGACCTAATGCTGCTCTCTTTAACATTTTGCATCTGTACAAGGAATCACCATATTTTAACAATCTACAATAATCTTTAGCAATATTATCAATCACATTTCTACAAGCATGTACATGTCCCAATGCCAATTTATAATGATCTTTGTCATACAATACATTAATCAAATCTGCATAAAATGGATGAATATCATCTAACTATATTATATAATAATATCAAATACTTTTGGAAAGTCTTGTAAAATGGTATCTATCTTCTCATGAATGGTTTCTTATGTAAATTTTACTTTTCTCATATAAAATCCTCTAATTCTAGATATATCATATCCAGGATGAACTACTGTAGGTGTTTTCCTTTATGTTTTTGATAAAATCACATTTATCATGTCTTTAGCAGGCATAACAGGACGTATAGTTTTGAAATTATAAGACATTGCTATTTTTAATCACAAAAAATATTTAATCAACAACATTAATTTAATATAGTTTATAATTCTCCCTAAGTGACGGGCTTAGAAAGGAAATAATCCATACCACTCTCAAAACCTAGTTTTTTAGTTTCCTCATCAGAAAATCCACTACAACCAATAATCGCACATTTATTCATTTATTTCTCCTTCTCAAGCATTCTTATTAATTTAGAAGTTTGATATCCATCCATCATTGGCATCTATATATCAATTATAACACATCTAATCCAATTACAACAATATTCTTAGGTATTTTACCATCCCTTTAGAAAATCTAATGCTTCTTATCCACTTTTTGCCTACTTATAAAGATACTTCAAATTCTTAAGTTAATAACCCAAAATCATTAAATTTATTGGCTCATCATCAACAATTAAAATTCTTGGACAAGCACAATTATCATATGATTCTTATACAGGATCTTCTTAAAAATTATCATCATCACATTAAAATTAATAGATAGTGCTTTCATTTTCTTCTATTTTCTATTCACTAATAACTTTTGCTCTATATAATGATGCACTCATAGGTTATATTGTTAATTAATCTCTTTTTTTTACTCTTACTATTGAAAGATTACTTTCCTTTCTACCAAAATATTTTGTATCTTAAGATTAATGTACAGAACTCTTTGTTTCATTTTAATCTAATATTTTAAATATAAACCTTGTTCCTTATCCCAATCCTTTAGATTCTACTTATAAACCAACATCTCCTCCACTTAATTTTTATGCTAACACATTACTTATCATTAATCCCAAACCTACTCCTTAAGTATTTAAATGTTTTGAATCTTCTAATTTTCCAAATGGTTAGAATAATTTCTTTATATCTTCTGGTTATAATCCTACACCAGTATCTTCAACTGATATTTCAATTAATTTTGGTTATAATAACTTAGCTTCTACTTTAATACCTCCTGTTTTAGTGAATTTTGTAGAATTATTTATTAAATTCAATATAATCTATTATATTCTCTATTGATCAGATTTAATAAGACCTGGTATTTTTTTATCATATTTTAAACTAAGTTAAAGATTCTTAGCACCTACATTAAAAGTCATCATAGCTATTGCATCAAAAATTAAATTTTTTAATGCAAATTCTTAAAATGTTAATTTAAATTTTCCAGCTTTTAATTAAGCTAAATCAAGTAAATCATTAGCTAATCTTGAAATTGATTCAGCTGAACTCTTTAATGGTTTCAAATACCTTATTTTATTTAATAAAAATTACTTTTTACTGGTTTCTTTATCTTGTGAATATTTTGAAAGTAATTATGCACTTATAGCACATATAGCACCTAAAGGATTTCTTAATTCATGTGCTACATAAGATAACATTTTTGATTTATTTGAATTTTGTTGTTATAATACTTTATACTAATTAAATAGTGACACATCTCTAATCATTAATAAAACATTTCTTTTATTTTCATATGTATATGCTTTGATAGTTATTTAAATTAATAATCCAGCAGAATCTTCATCATCTGACTAATCTTCATGTATTTCATTAGGAATTCTTTCATTAGATTCTTCAATCATACATAACATCTTTACTTCTTTACCAAATTTTATTATTTCTTATCCTTTTTATGTTCTTTAAGAATGACAAGATAATTATCTTTAATAAGGTGATGGAGTTCCATTTTTATCTTACAAAGCCTTTTCAATTTCTTGACTTAATGTTTCTGCCTTACTTAATTCATATTCATAATAATTATAATATGTTTATTCATCTAATGGTACAAAACAATCTTTAATTAAAGAATTTTCTTCATTAAGTTATTATTAAAATTCATGAGAATTACTTTTTAATTTTTTATTCAATGCTGCAAACATTTTATCAAATTAAGCTTATTCACCAAATTAAAATTTTGATGAATAATTTTTCAATTCATATAATTTCTTAGGTATAAGATCTTCTGAAATAGGTTTTCTACCTAATAATGTTCTTACTTAATTATTATGATATTCAATTTTATTTTAATCATTAATTATTATTATTCCTTCAGGAAATTAATTAAATAAAGTTTTATAGAAACTATTTTAATATTCAATCTATTCACGAATTGATGCTTCTCTTTATGGTTATTATTATTATTAATGATGTAATTATTAACCTAAAGATAATATTTAAACATGATTTGATTCTTCATCTAAAATTTAAGGTTAAGGACTATCTAATTTCTCAGTAAAACTACGAGAACTAGGTTTTTTAGATGTTGATTGTTTATGTTAATTCTTCATTGTCTTTTCAACAAATAATTAGTATATCAATATAAGAGTATAAAGTATTTCTCCACAAATCAATCCAATTTATGAAGAATCAAGAATTAAGTAAAATGTTGTCAAATTGACTGAAGCTATTACAACTAAAAGAAAACCCACTCTAACTATTTTATGAGGTAATATTGTATCAACATCTAATTGAATTGTAAGACCAAGCCAAAAATATTAGAATCTACTTAGAAATCCATCATTTTTCAATCCCATATCAACACTACCTAAGCAAAAAAGATTCAGGACTTACCATAAGGATTTACATATTAATTATGAGTGCTCAGCATAATTTGAAATATATTTGTTTAATGGCAATGAAAGAACTGTCAATACTATGCTAAATACAACCTAAAAGTATTCTGGATTGTCATTCACTATTTTTATAATTAGTACCATTATAAAATATGTGAGTTGAATAAATACTCTCAAATAAACATTCTTCATTATATTTTATTATGTTTATTATATTATTGATTACGCACATTCTTATTGATGTAGCTTATTCAGGAACGATATCTCCTGCTATTTTTAAGGCTTACTTGACAACAGACACTTCATTTTTAAATGAAATAACATCACTTAAATTGAATACATATTATCTAATCAGATTTGAATTTGATTTACCAACTACTCTTAATCCAAGCACTGATTTCATGAGAATAGAAGTAACTGGATTTAAATCTATGGCATTTTATTTTGCGACATACCAATTTACAAATCCCTCTGCTAATGGCAATTTGTACCTTGAGCTCAAGGCTGATACTTCCACTAAAATTCTAACACCACTTATAGTATTTTATGCCACTACAGGTGCATCGACTAAGCCTCATACTTGTTATGCCTTCAGTTATAGAACCAGTGTAACTTCATCCCTTGATGATAGCCCAATTAAGACATTTACAATCACAGGAGGAGCAATAACGTTTAGTAGCTCTATTAGTGTACCAAATAAGATTTTTGGATAAAAATCTATGTATAGTATAAACCTTTCCTTTGAAAACTCATTATCAGAAGGAACAAAATTACTAACCTTTCCAAGACCATCAAATTTACAATCTGATGCAACTATAACATGTACAGGAACACCATCAACTACAATTGCCTGCACTTATGACTCTGTATCAAACCTGATATCAATAGTTAACTTGGATTCAACTAAGACATAAACAATATCTATAGAATTTACAAATCCTCCGTCTCCAACTTCTAGTATTACTTTTAATAATTTTATTACTTATATTGATAGTGTTTAAGTTGATTCAAGCAGTACATCTTCATAAGTAACAGGATACAATGATGGATTACTTACAACCTTAACAGTTGAAAGTGGATCATATAAAGTAGGTTAAAGTGGTGCTTCTATAAGATATAAATTTACAAGTTTAAATGATATTTAAATTGGTTCAACAATTGAATTAATATTACCAAGTGATATTCAATGGATTACATCATCTCCATCTTGTTCTATAAATTATGTAAGTGTAACAGCATGCTCTTATGTTGTGGTTACAACTTAAAGTATTACAGTAACTATAACTGCATCTGCATCAATACCAGGAGGAACATCATTAATTTTAACGGTTAATTCAATAAGAACTCCATATACATTTAGTCCTGTCACTGGATTTTCATTATAGATTAAGAGAGGTATTGTTGAATATGATAAAAATTTAAATTTTGGAAGTTTAACAATGACAGAATAAAGTGGAATTACTTTAACATATTTTGGAAGAACAGAAGGTAAAAATGGCGCTTAATCCACTTATACAATTTCAACTAAATTTGACACAATACAACCTATTGGGACTAAAATAACTTTTACACTTTAAGGATATATTTTAAGCAATGTAGATAAAATTGATTTTACAGGTTTTCCTTCATTTACTTCTACAAATTTATAAGTGACTAGTTCTGCATATACAATTAGTATATAATTTAGTACAGCTTTGAATAGTAATTAAAATTATGATGCCATAATATATAACATAGTAAATAAAGATAGTGCTGGTACAATTACAGCTGAAACCACTAATAATAATTTTAAGATTTCAAGTACAGATAAAGGTACAGCTGGTACATTACCAAGTTCTGTTCCAAATATTATAATTGCTGAAAAGATAGTTTAAGAAAAATAATTATTAGGAGTTGTAGATAATTATTAATTTAGAATTACATTATCTAATCAACTTACTGCTGGATCTTCAATTATTGTGATAATGCCTGATAACTTCTCCGTTGAATAAACAGATTGTAAAGCAGCAGTAGATAATATTGAAGGATTTACTGTAGATACTTGTTCAGTTAATAGTAAAGAGATTACAATAAAGATAAATACAAATTAAGTTAAAACAATATAATTTAGATTTAATAATCTGATAAGAAACCCAAAGAGTTATTCATCTACTTATTAATTTAAAATAAGAACATAAAAAGATACTAATATTATTGATGAATCGTAAAGTTCAGATGGTCCTAATTTATCATTTTAATTAAAGTGTATTCCTAATTCATCATAATTTTGTAAGGAATGTGATGTTTCAAATAATTGTTAATCTTGTTATACTGATACATCAATAACTCAAAATATTTACTTATTTGATAATAAATGCTTAAGTACTTGTGGATCATTATATTATAGTGATTCTAGTAATAAATGTTAAAAGTGTCCAAATTATTGTTAAGAATGTACAAGTAATACATTATGTTAAAGTTGTATTGATGATACAATATAAGAAATTAAGAATGGAAAGTGTGTATTAAAATGTACTGAAAAGTAATTTGATTTCAATGGTAAATGCACAGATTGTAATGATAATTGTAATACTTGTATTGATTAAAGTACTAAATGTACATCTTGTGGGGAAACAAATAATTTACTATATTAAAATAAGTGTGTTTCTTAATGTCCAACAGGAATATTTTAGATTGGATTTTCTTGTATTGCATGTACATCACCTTGTAAAACATGTGATACTGGTCCAACTGTGTGTTTGACTTGTGTTGCTAATTATTATTATAAAAAACCATCATTAAGTTGTGTTACTGATTGTGGAAATAGATATTATAAAGATGGAAGTGAATGTACTTAATGTTCTGATCCATGTAATAATTGTTTAAGTAATACTATTTGTATTGATTGTCTCACTGGATATTACTTTTTTAATAATAGTTGTGTATCAACTATACCAAATGGTTATTATAAATCAGGTACATCTTTAAGTAAATGTCCTGATATATGTGGAAATTGTATTTCAGAAACTGAATGTACTTCATGTCCAACAAATAAATATTTATTATCCAAATAATGTATAGATAAATGTCCTGAAAAATATTATTCATAAAGTTTTGTATGTTATTCTTGTGATGTATCTTGCTTATAATGTTCATCAAATACTGTATGTACATAATGTCCAGAAAATTAATAACATTTAACAGGTAAATGTTATTAAAATTGTCCTAATAAATATTATTCCTAAGATTATTAATGTTTATCATGTCAATCATCTTGTGCTACTTGTGTAAATGGTTTAGAATGTAAAACATGTCCAATTAGTGCACCATATATGTTAAATAACTTATGTGTTTAATCTTGTTTAACTAACTATTACATAAAGTCATTTGTTTGTATTAAATGTTCTAATGAATGTGCTACTTGTGATGAAAAAGGATGTCTAACTTGCATATAAAATTATAAATTTCTAGATTAAACATGTTTAACTTCATGTCCAACAGGATATTAAGATGTATTTTAATATATATATATAATTAGCTAAACAATATTGAAATATGTGAGAAAGTTACAGAAACAGAATAGTAAGTGATTTCAAATTTATAAGAAAACAAATATATACCCATACCATTTACTATAGTATCTTTTATTATGATATTAAGTGTTGTTGTAGCTAAAATATAAAAAACTGAAGTATTATATATATATAATTAATAGACTTTCATTCCAGGATCAGCTGTTGGTTTATTAGGTTTAATAATTATAGGATCATGGGCAGTATTACTTCTTTTATAATTGGATTATCTTTTAGAGAAATTGGAAACTTATTTATTAATGGCTGCAATTGGAGTTCATGTAATATTAAATCTCATTAATTTATGTGTTATTAAACATTGTACTAAAGGTGATACTGCTTTTAATTTATGGTATACAGCAAGGAAATCTAATTCATGTGCTTACATCTTTTTAAATTTATTATCAATTCTTAGTTTCTCTATGACAAGATTTTACTTTTCTAGATACTTTGGATTTAGATTCTTAAAATGTAAATTATCAGATGTTGAAAATATGGTTGGAATGAATATTATCAATGGACTTTGTGCATTTGTATCATTAATTTATCTATTTATTATAGTTTTGTTGTATACCTGCTTTAATAGCCAGTGTCTTACTTGCATATAGAGATTAATTAAGAGAATAATTATTCATTAGTAGTATTGATTCATTTATAGTAACCATTATTTTTGGTATTTGTTTAATATGGGAAACATAAAAAGAAGAGAACTTTTTTGAAGATATCAATTATGCATCTGTCTCTTAATCACATTAAGTTATTCCAGAGTTTTTTTAAACTTAGCGATCAAAGTAATCTAAAAGATTTTCTTTTGAAGATTCTATGAATGGTTAAAAATTTAATTAACATGAATAAGATGAAGAACCATCTTTCCCTAAAATTGATGAATCTATTGAATATAAAGATCCTAATTATAGTTAATAGCCTTTTTAGAAGATGTTACAAAAGAATTCTCAATTCACTTTCAAATAAGAAATGCTTGATCCAAAATAAGACAATTCTAATAGATTCCAGGAGGAAGTAATCTTATAAATACCTAATAATGATGTTTCTGAACCATTATCAATTGGAGAATCATAAAGAGATTAATAAGATATGTAAGAATAGAAATACACACTCGAATAATAATAATAATAATAATAGAAAATTTTAGAAGAATAATAAAGAATTGAATATGAAAAATAATAAGAATAATTAAGATAATTAGAATAATAGAATAAAATAGAAGAATAAAAGAAAAAAGAAATACAGAAATAAAATGAAGAACAATAAAGATAAGAAGAGATTAAGAAGTAGGAATTAGATAGATAAGCAGAACTTAAAAGAATAGAAGATAAAAAGAAATAAGAAGAAGAAAAATAAAAATAAGAATAAATTAAATAATAAGAACAAGAAAGAATTAGAAAATAAAAAGAATAATAAATATTGGAAGAATAAAAAAAATAATAAGAATTATTAATTTAATAATAATAAGAAGCATAAAGAATAGCAAAATAAAAAGAAGAAGAAAAATTAGCATTAGAGAAAGAACAAGCATAAAAATTAGAAAAATAAAAAGAAGAAGAAAGATTAATATTTGAAAGAGAAGAAGCATAAAGGATAGAAAAATAAAAGGAAGAAGAAAGATAAATATAAGAGAGAGAGGAAGCATAAAGAATAGAAAAATAAAAGGAAGAAGAAAAATTAGATTTAGAAAGATAGGAATAATAGAGAATTGAATAATAGAAGGAATTAGAAAGAATAGAGTTAGAAAAATAGGAAGCATAAAGAATAGAATAATAAAAGGAAGAAGAAAGATTAGCTTAATTAACTTAATAGTAGAAAATTGAGGAAGAGTAAAAGTAAGCTGAATAAAATAAAATAGAATAAGAATAATAGGCTGAGAGATTAAGATAAGAAGAATTAAAGATTAAAGAATAGGAAGAAGAAGTTAAAAGAATTTAAGAAGAGTAGTAAAAATAGGAAGAATTAAGAATATAATAAGAAATAGAATAAAAAAAGAAGGATGAAGAACTTTAGTAGTTATTGGAAGAATAAAAATTATAGGAACAAAAAGAATAGGAAATGCTTTAACGATAAAAATAATCTAGAAAAACTGCTGATTAAAATTCAGAAATTGAAATAATGTAAAATGAAATTGAAGATTTGAAATAGGATATTAATGAATTTGATCAAAAGAATAATAATAAATTGAATGATATAATTTTAGTAGATCAAGATGATGATGATGTTGGATGGAATATAGAAAATGAAGAAGATGATGATTAAGTATATGATTAAGGAGTTACAGCTTAATAAAAGAAATTATAAAAAGAAATTATTTAAGATGATAAAAATGATGCTGATGATGATTGGGATGTTCCAACTTCAGGTTTTGTAAGCGTATAACCAAAATCTTAGTTAAGAAAGGATTAATAGATTGAAGAACCCATTAACCCTTTTAAAGGATATAATTAAAGGTAAGCAGCTGAATCAGATCTATTCAAATAATCTAGAGATGATTCAGATGATGAAGATTGGGCTGCAAATAAAATATCTCCTTCCGAATTCAATATTCTAAATTAAAGATTCGATCATGAAAAACATTCTATTACATAAGCTGAGAGATCTAAAAAGTTTTCCTAAACAGGTTAAAATTTTAAATCTGTTGTTAAGAGACCAACTCTTCCTGATCCTTAAACAAATAGTGATAATGAATCAATAGACTAGTAATCAGTTTTTGATTAGTTTGCTAGAAATTAATTAAATTAAGTACCTAAAAAACAAAATTAAGGATTAAATAAAATATATCTATAAAGATAACAGATCAAATAGAAAGGCACAAATAATATTGGAATTAATGATATTAAATTTTGAAATATATAATTATAAATCAGTAATTATTTTTATATGAATTAAGAAATCGATTTTATTTAATGTAAACCATCTATTTCAATTGATTTTACAATGCAAGACTTACCTAAATTCAAAAATGAACCCAATATTGTTGTCTTATTTGGTTTCCCATATGATGAAGGCACTATAAGAAATAAAGGCAGAGCTGGAGGAGAAAATGGATATGAATAAATTATGCTAGTGTTAAAATAAAAACTTAAAGAATGTAATATATAATAAAAAGTAATACATGTTGGGTATGTACCTAAGTAATTAACATTAGAGGATGCACATGAATATCTTTATTAACATATTGCTGAAATTTATTATTAATTGCCTTAAGCGAAAGTGATTGTAATTGGTGGTAGCAATGATCAAAGCTATCCAAATTTTAAAGGATTAGTTGATGGAATGTAATGCAAAAAATTAGGTGTTATTAACATAGATTCTCATTTAGATGTTAGACCATTGATTAATTAAAATTAATCTCATTCAGGATCTCCATTCAGAAATATGCTTGAAGATGTAGAACGCTTTTAGAATAGTAAATTTGTGGAATTTGCTATTAAAGGTTGCACTTGCTCATATGATCATTACTAATATGTATTAAATAAAGGTGGAAAAGTATATTTCATGGAAAAAGATATCAGAAGATTAAATGCTGAAAACTAAGGCTTAAGTGCTATGAATAATGTATTAACAGAATTTGAGAATGATTAAAATATTGACTTTATTTTCTTATCTTTTGATGTTGATTCTATTAATAGTGCATGGTGTCCAGGAGTATCTGCACCATCAATTGTTGGAGGATTGACTAATATTGAAGCTTTATCTATTATGGAAAGAGCAAAGAAATCAAACAAAATTAAATTAATTGATTTGAGTGAATTTAATCCAGCAGTAGAGTGTGAACGCACTTCTAATTTGATTTCTGAAATGATAATTACATTTATTTTATGATAAATTTTTATTATTATTAACAATTCATTTATAAAAATGATTAATTGAAAGATATTTATTATAAATTAAATGTAAAAATTTAACATAATAAATCAGTTGTTTTTTGTTATTGTATTAAATTATTATGCAAAAGATTGATAAATTAATTTGAGTAATCTTGAAATAAAAAAAAATTTATAATTAATTATATCTATACCTAAAAGATAATCAATTTACTAGTTTAAGAGATATGATTATAATTTTAATGAAAATGAATATATATTCTAATGAATAGTTTAGATTCTCTCAAAAATCCAAAAGAAATTGATATATTATTTATTTTATAATTTGTTGAATTCAATAAACCCTTTATTAATAAATATGGGATCTAACTGTTCGAATTGTGGATAATGCTAAAAAGACAAGCAAGAATTGTTATATGAAGTTAATATAACAAAAAAAACAGAGAGTAATAAAAATGGAATATCTGTAATTTCCTAACCATCTCAAGCCTCAAATCATTCAATTAAAGTTTATATCTATCTAATTTATAATAGACTCAAACAAAATAGAATTATTTGAAGGATAATAAAGAATCCATCTATGAAAATCAATAAGAATAATTATTAGCTTAGATGGCTATTGTAATTTAAAAATAATGGAAAGGACACAAAGCAAGATAAAATTTCCAATAAATGAGGTCTTGTAATAATGATGCTCAAAAAGGTGATGATCAAGATACAAGTTAAAGTAAATAAAGAAGGAATGCATAAAAATATTTCAATTCAGAAGAATATGCAGGTAGCTAAAAATAAATATATCATAGAAGTTAATCTTAATAATTCAATTAGAGAAAAAAGACCGAAATATTAATTTAGGAGTGGTGCCTCATATGAAGGGGAATGGTTAGGCAATAAAAGAGATGGTTATGGAACTTAAATTTGGCCAGATGGTGCAAAGTATGAGGGATAATGGGAGGATAATAAAGCCTGTGGGAAAGGAACTTTTTATCATATAGATGGGGATATATATACAGGATAATGGGAAAATGATTAGGCGAATGGCTTTGGAGTTTATACCTAATAAAGTGGAGCAATTTATGAAGGTCATTGGCAAAATGATTTATAACATGGATAAGGGGAAGAAAAATGTAATTATAATTTTAAATTAAGGGATTGATAATTCTTGTTATAAAGGAGAATATTTTTAAGGAAAGAAACAAGGTAAAGGTTTATATATCTGGCCAGATGGAAGTTTTTATGATGGAGCTTGGTTTGATAATAAAATTAATGGATAAGTAATATTGTATTTTATCATCATTAGGGAGAGTATATATGGGCAGATGGTAGAAAGTATAAGGGTAATTGGAGATATAATAAAATGCATGGTTATGGTTTTTATTAGTGGGCTGATGGAAGAGCTTATCATGGTGAGTATTAGGAGGATAAGAAGCATGGAAGGGGTAAATATTTATGGCCAGATGGAAGGATATTTGAAGGGGAATGGGTAGATGGTAAATAACATGGAAAAGGCAAATATATTATGGCTGATGGATAGATGAAATATGGGTTTTGGGAGAATGGAAAAAGAATAAGATGGGAAGATAGATAATAGTGATCAAATTAGAGTCTCTTTTCTTATTTGTAATAGTCTATATATCTTTCAGTATCTTAAGAGTAATGCTTTAAATTTATAAGTAATTAAATTTTATTAAATTATATTTTTATTATTTAAATTTTGTAAAAAGAAATACCTTATTAAGTAAAGTATATCTAGTAATGTAAAATCTTTGCATAAAATTTACTAAATATTAAGATAATTAAAAGTATCAATTTAGTTAACTCTTTTAAATTAATTAATTAGTTAGTATATCATGAAATAAAAGCAAAAAAAATAATGTATAAGCATAAAGTTTTACAAATTAACAATGAATAAAGAATAAAATCAAATAGGATCTATTAAGATTTGGTTCTCAGTTTTTTATTTATAATATCTAAATCCAGTAATTAAGGCTGCTATTACAATTGTTCCTGCCCAGACCCATAATACTAAATATCCATTGAAACCTTCAAAAACACCAGTGGCTTCATAAAGAATTTCCTCATCATGACACATTAGATCACAATTATTACAAGAGCATCTTTCTGAGATAATAAATCCATCTGGTGTTACAATTTTACCATCTGGACCAGGTGGATATTCATATTTGCAATCAGGAACAAAATCAAAATTAATAGTCTCTTCATCATTATCCACAAATTTGACTGATATGAATTATTTAGCTTAACCACTAATATATTAATCAATATATATACACTGCCTGTTCTCCTTAAAAATTAAAGAATCCTCCTGGAGTTTTCATGGCAGTTACTTAAGAGGCAAATTGTGTTCTCTTACAAGATGACCACATGTCCTATAGAGATTTAAACAAATATAATTACACATGCCACTTAAGGTTTGACTTTAATTTCAACTAATTAAACTTTCAATATATTCTTTGGATTTAATGGGTCTTTCATGTTAGTATATCCATTTGTAGTTAAGAATTAACTTTAATTAGGACTACAAGTATATTCACACCAGAATTTCTTCAAATTATATGCACAACTAAGAATGAGGGGATATATTATACATGTCACATCCACCACCAGCATTACCAAAAGAAGCATCAATAGCTTGAAAATTTCTTTGCATTTGATCATCTTGATTTTTGTTACAACAAACCATAGTTCCATCCATATGGGGACATTATGAAACACGAGCTATAAAGGGTTCAGTATCAACTTCTAATGGATCACAATTATTTCCTTGACATTCTACAGAGAATGCACATCTAGAATATGTATAGACAATGAATGTAAATAATATTATCATTAAATTAAATAATATTATTATTTAAGGAAATAAAATCATCCTTAACTTTAATTTGATAAATTATCTTTATCAATATCTAATTCTTTTCTAGGAGTCTGAGACTTCTAATATTGTTCTTAATTGATTCTATTTAATCTAAATGTGTATAAAAAGTAATGTTGATATTTAAAGCATAAACAAAAAGTCATCAAAAATAATAATATCCCTAATATAACTTCAATTTAAAGAATTTAATTTGATGAAGATTCATTAACAGATTCTAAGAATAATTGTATAAATAACCTTTAAAAGAGAGATCTTCAAAGAATAATATTTTTGGTTAAAATTATGGTTTGTAAATTAGATTATCTTGAAATTCATGTAAATGAACATATTTTTATATTGAATAAAAGTGAGTGATATTAATGATGAGACCAATCTCTATTGAGTATCTACCAAATAGAGAAACCATATTATCAGTTTGAATTGTAATAGTAATATATTCTTATCCTAAAAGTTAACTTTCAGAAAGGTCTTATTAAACTAATGTTGTCTTAGATTCTCTTAGATTAGTCCAATTAATATAAGTGATATAAGGATTCATAGTAAACTAGAATGAGCTTTTCAGATTTTCTGCATCAAAAAATAATGGTTAATAGTCAAATTTATAGAGTTATTTCTCTTCTTCTTCTGGGAGAGCAAATTAAATATAAAATTAAGGATCATTTGGATCTGAAGGATTAGGAAGAGAAAATTTATATAATTATAATGATAAAGCACTAATTCCTCTTGAATAATTACTCCAAATTACTTCGAAACTTTCTTCTTAAGAATAGACTGAAGGATGGAGCATTTATAAATCAAAATTTTTACAAACTGCTCTCACATTCTACATTCAAACTAGATAATTACTTCAACATATTTATCATTTTACAATTCAAAACAAGGAGGATTACCATCAATATTTTCATTGTAATAATCTTTATTATTTAAACTTTAACAATCTTTAAATGGTTAATCTATTTCACATATTATTTGATTCCATTTTAAACATTAAATATCATAAAAATCAGGTGGACATAAACATCCATAAGATAATCTATATCTTATTTCACAAAGATCTTTTTTTATTTCTTATTCATATTATTTTTTGGTAACTCTTTATTAAGAACAAAAATATTTTGTTACATTTAACAAAATCTATTGACCAAAACCACAATATATTGAAATTAAAGGACCTTATTTATAATACTCATCAACGGTAGTATTAAAGACTGGTTCAGGATTTGTAGGATCTTAATCTAAAATTCTCCTATTTTATTATATATCTTAAATAAAAGGTATTTTTTAGATAAGATCTATTTATTAATCTTCATTTTCATCTTCATCTATAGATATATCTGAATAATCAAGTGTTTAAGATTTTAAACCAAAATTTGAATCCACCATATTTTTTGGTGTTTAGGTCATAAAATATTATGTTTAATATCTAAGATCTTCATAAAGTTTACTTACATCTTTAAGTAAAGATGCATTAATAGAATGGAGTATCAAATATAATAATATCATAAATATTATAAATTTATCAAAGGAGATTTTTATATTTTAATGCACTTTTGAATAGACATTCAATAGGACTTTATTAGTATTAATCATATCCTATAATTTTTGTTTGATCTTTAGGTATTAACATATAAATTTATGCTTCTCCATCATCATCATGTATTTAATGTACGAATTTGCCACCTAAAGATTCAACCAAAAATTCTAATTCGAAATGTTCAATATGATAACTCATTCTTTTTGGAACAAATATTGTCACACCTTCTAAAGGTAGTATTTTTGCTTCTTTACTAAAGTATTAAATTAAATACTTACCATTTTTAGAGTCTTTTTTAATATTGCTTAAAATCAAAATTATATTCTTTGCAAAATTCATTAGAAAATTTAACTTAATATTAATTATGATCAAGTATCTCATATTAATTTATTGATCTAGTTAACCAATCTCTAGAAATGATAGGGATTCCTTTAGCTAAAGCTATCAATAATTTTATTGATCTTAATTAAACATTATCTTCCATTATTAACATATTAAATGTATAATCTTCTAAACAAATTTAAATATTTTAAATTAATAAAAACTATTATTCTTCTCTACTTGGATGAAATCCTGAAAAAGCTATATAAAATTTCCATCTACTACACTTCCTTTAACTCATTCTATTACTTTCTTTTTTTATTTCTTTCATTAATTTATGATGACTTTTCTTTTTTGGAGAACTTTCTCTATCTTTTCGTTATGGCATAATTAAATAATCTAAAGTAGATTATTTTTTTTTCTATTTAGTTTTATTTACAATTCCTTTCTTATCGTTTGAATTTTTATTAAAATCAGGAGTTCCATGAGATAACATTTCAGTTTATTATTCATAATCATTAAATTAAAATAAATCTGTTCTTTGATTAGATTCATTTTTCTTTATTTATTCTATATTATCAATCTATTCTTATTGTTTATTATTATTTTCTTATTATTAATTAAATGAAACTGAATTAATATCTTCATCTTATTTTAAATCAATATTAATTTATTCTTATTCTTGAATAGATTTGAAATATTGCAATTCACTTTAAAGTGATGTATATAAACTTTCAACTACTTTAACTTCTATTGTAGATAGTCGTTCTTATAAATTGAATTATTTAGATTCTTATTATGGTTCCTTTAATATTTCTTTTTATGGTTATTATTTTGTATGAGAAGGATTCTATGTTCCATCAAGCACTTAAACTTTAGCTTCTATAGTTTAACCTAATCGTATTAAAAAATCCGCGGATTCAATATTTAAACTAATTTAACGAATGATTGTACCTAAGAACAGAATTCTTGGCCAATTATTCAAATTCTCCATCTGCATTTTTATAAAAGACTGGACCATCTAATACAATAAGTTCTATTTCATCTTCATTCAAAACAACACAACAATGATTATTGACAATTTATTTATTATTAATACAAACTTCATGTTCTTGTGTATTTCCAACCATATTTGCTCCAATTTATAAATTGAATTTAATTGGAAGTGCTAATGATTTTAATCATAAGAGTACCATTTTTGTAAGGTAATATAACAAACTTGACTATTTTCTAAGTAAAAAACATATGAATAAAAATAATGATATAAATTCACTGATTAAACCCATAATTATCAAAGAAATTCATTAATTGATTTGAGATATACTTTTAAGCCTCGTAAAATTTCCATCTTTTAATAAACATTATTATGAATCTCTGATATATATGTTTGTTTCAAATCATTGTTTTCCTTATATTTTTTTAATATAATTATAGCTTCCAATAGAATCATAATTTAATTTATAAGAATTTCTTTGCGTTCTCTATTTATATGGATCTATAATTAAATATATTATGTACAGCAAATCTTCTTGAGAATGATATTTATGTATCTAATTCTTTAATATCTTAATCTAATCCCTAAGAGTAGGAATTAAGATAATGCTATAATAATTATATACAAAACTGCATCACAAATACTTCATAATCAATTGATACTGGGATAGTAATTAATACATCCTTTTCTTAAACTTGATAAAGCATAAGATACAACCTCAAATACATAAGTAAATCCATATTCAATTTGTTTTTTTTAATTCTGAATTCTTTTGTAATTGATGAAATAGGTATTTCATATCCATTATATTTTATTGTACCTGTATCCCATTCTTCTGAACAAATTAATTTATTTATAGTAATTGTATCAAATATCTATTTCTAACTTTACATCTTTTCTTTACTAATTTCTGTATTCAACCATAACTTTGTTAGAATCAACTTATTACTCTAAAATTAAAAGAACTGTATTTATTTTCAGCTAAAGTAAATCCATACCAGCTAAGTAAGAATCTATTAGTTCTTCTTCCATAAGATACTGTAACTTATTCACCTTTCTTTATTGGTTCTGTAGTTGTAATACAAAAATATGCATCTTTATCATTCTCTTCAAGCCAATCCCATCTGGACTCTTCACTACTATCACTTTCACTTTCTTTATCCTAAATTTATTGTTATTCTTAGATATATGATTAAATTTATTGTTTCTATTTTTTATTCTCTATCATTTATTACTGTCTCTATTTCATAGCTTAGATCTATTGTGGAGGCAAACCTTTTATGGTTACTAAGTTCTTCGTTTCTAATATTAGATTTCAAATAAAATACCATTATTTAAACAAATTGTTAATATGCTTTCACTATCTATTTAACTTTATATATCTCTAATGCTATATTCATTATTTGATTCTTAATTAAGTTCTATTTTTTATTATTCTATATTAATATCTTATAGACTATTTCCATTTCTCTATTTTTTCTTTTCTTCAAATTTCATCTTCCAATCAGTTAATTCCTTTATTTTTACAGATTCAAACTGCTTATTTCTGGCTATTTCTACTTCTTCATCAGAATCATTATCTTCACTATCTGAGGATGTAAGGAATCCTAAATCCCAAAGATTGACTTCTGGATTTTAAATCATTTGTTCATAATTGATCCAATTAATCATAGCTCTTTTATCTACATTTGATAAATTATCCAAATTATTAATATCTTTTAATTGATTTTCAGTTAAATAATGTTAATGTTATAATATATAAGTCTATTTTTAATCTTCATATTATTTTATCTAAGATTCATCTTATTGTATCTTAAGAATACTTAAATTGATTTTATTTCCCTTAAATTTATATTATTCTTCCAATAATCTTATAAAAGAATCTTCCATATTTTCAATATTTTCAAGATCACTATCATAATTCTGTTCATTCCTTCTATTCTTTTTAGCTTAAAGTCTTTCTTATTCTAAATTCTCAATTTTAGAATGAACCAAATAATGAGTACATGCCTTATTAGAATGATTAAGAAAATCAGCAATAGGAATCATACTTGTAGATTTCAAAGACCAACCAAAACATCTACTCATAACACTTTAAGCAGCCCAATAAAAATCTTATTTATCTGTTGGACGTATATCTCCAAAGATTGAAATAAATTCATTAAATATATCTTTTGCTTAATTCCATAAGTCATTTAAATCCTCTCTTACAATAGCAAATTCATCTAGTATTATAGGATCTTCAATGTATCTAAGTTCTTCTTTTGTCCAATCAATTAAAGTGTTATTTGATTAAATAGCTTATATGTATGGATGATAAAATGATTATTCACCCTTTTTCTTTTCATTGAACAAATAGAAAACTATACAATTAATTAAAATAGTTACTTAGGATATTAAATTCAGCATCAGAAATCTCATTTTCATCAAATAGTTCAGGATGCTTATCGTAAACAATAGATAATGAACTTTATTTACATTTTTCTTAAGATATAATCAATGTTTAAGGCACACAGATGATTGCCTTAAATTTATAAAAATATCAAAATACAGTATTTGCAGGAATATCCTTAATAGCAACAACACCTGTAAGTTCTCCAAAGGCTGCTGGTAGATCAACATCTTTAATAATCACACCATTATCTAATCCCCATTTTAAAAGATTTTGATATCTGGGATTAAGCTTTATTTCATCTGTTTTCTTTTGATCAAATAACATATAAGAAAATAAATATAAATATATATATATTATGTAAATAAAAAGAGTCAATCACGATTTAAATTTAATAATTTATTAAGTGATGAATGAGTCTTTGTAGCTTCAACTAAGAATTAAAAGTATTATTGCCAATCAAAATGAGATTAATTATTTTTTTTAACCTATTTCATAAACTCAACTTTTAATTATTGAATTAAACTATTTACACTTTAAATACTCTTAAAATCTTTCATCTTTTTCATCTATTATTTAAAAGTATCTCTTAATAATTTATCAATATGTATAATAGGTATCAAACCACATTATTCTTCATCATAATTATCAAACACTTTTTTCATTAAAACTTATGGTGTTTATCTTCTTTACATTGACTCTTCAGAACATAAATATTACATCCATTCACATCTTTCAATTATATTATTATGATTAGTATCTATAATTGACATTTCTTAATTAATTCTAAAATAATCTGGTTCTTCATCTTCATATAACCAAATAAGTAATTTAAGATCTTTAATATTAATAATTGATAATTAATTTACATCAGTTATTGAATATACATTCCATGCTCTAATGATATCCAAATAATCACTCTTCTTAACTGAGATATTTTAAAGAAGATGTTAATTCTTTTTATGATCTGCTTTCCAAGCCCAAAGATCTTTTTATTATTATGAACTATCTTCTTATCCAATACTTTTAGATCTTAATGTATATTCTATAATCATATAAAATAAAGTATCTATTGATAATTAATCTATTCCCTTATAAATTTAATATAAATTCTATTGTAATTTAATAGCTGGTACTTAAGGTGCTTTACATTCTCTCAACCATTTATTAAATTATTATTCAGATTCATCCATTACATTAATCATTCTTTTTAATGCATATTAATATGTTTATGTTCCAGAATATAATAACATAAACTCTTACAATTCATCATATTATACAGTCCATTCATAAAATTCATCAAAATCAACATGTTTATTTTTATCTTCATCCATCATTTGGAAACAAACATAACCCAATTTCTCTAACATACTAACAGATGGAATCACTAAACCAGCTATTTTACACATTGCTCTAACTGCACATTATAATGTACTAACCATCTCTTATTCTTCTAAAGTATTTGACAAATCAAAATCAAATAATCTAAAAACAAACATACATTTTGTTTCAAAACTCTCTCCACTAAATATAGCAAAAGCAGCCAATGCTTCAAATGTATGAACTGATAATTTTCCATCTTCTCCAGTCTAATCAGCCAATCTATGAAAAAGATCAATACAATTATCAGTTAATGTTGCAAATATATCATCGAATTATTCTAAATTCAAATAACAATTCTAAGGATAATATTTATCTATGGTATCTACACAATCAAAAAGTTCCCTCATTGTTATGCTTTTTAATTTAACTATTAGAGATGGTTCAAACTAAGTTGCATGTTTCTAAAATATTTATCCCANAATTATTGAATTAAACTATTTACACTCTAAATACTCTTAAAATCTTTCATCTTTTTCATCTATTATTTAAAAGTATCTCTTAATAATTTATCAATATGTATAATAGGTATCAAACCACATTATTCTTCATCATAATTATCAAACACTTTTTTCATTAAAACTTATGGTGTTTATCTTCTTTACATTGACTCTTCAGAACATAAATATTACATCCATTCACATCTTTCAATTATATTATTATGATTAGTATCTATAATTGACATTTCTTAATTAATTCTAAAATAATCTGGTTCTTCATCTTCATATAACCAAATAAGTAATTTAAGATCTTTAATATTAATAATTGATAATTAATTGACATCAGTTATTGAATATACATTCCATGCTCTAATGATATCCAAATAATCACTCTTCTTAACTGATATATTTTAAAGAAGATGTTAATTCTTTTTATGATCTGCTTTCCAAGCCCAAAGATCTTTTTATTATTATGAACTATCTTCTTATCCAATACTTTTAGATCTTAATGTATATTCTATAATCATATAAAATAAAGTATCTATTGATAATTAATCTATTCCCTTATAAATTTAATATAAATTCTATTGTAATTTAATAGCTGGTACTTAAGGTGCTTTACATTCTCTCAACCATTTATTAAATTATTATTCAGATTCATCCATTACATTAATCATTCTTTTTAATGCATATTAATATGTTTATGTTCCAGAATATAATAACATAAACTCTTACAATTCATCATATTATACAGTCCATTCATAAAATTCATCAAAATCAACATGTTTATTTTTATCTTCATCCATCATTTGGAAACAAACATAACCCAATTTCTCTAACATACTAACAGATGGAATCACTAAACCAGCTATTTTACACATTGCTCTAACTGCACATTATAATGTACTAACCATCTCTTATTCTTCTAAAGTATTTGACAAATCAAAATCAAATAATCTAAAAACAAACATACATTTTGTTTCAAAACTCTCTCCACTAAATATAGCAAAAGCAGCCAATGCTTCAAATGTATGAACTGATAATTTTCCATCTTCTCCAGTCTAATCAGCCAATCTATGAAAAAGATCAATACAATTATCAGTTAATGTTGCAAATATATCATCGAATTATTCTAAATTCAAATAACAATTCTAAGGATAATATTTATCTATGGTATCTACACAATCAAAAAGTTCCCTCATTGTTATGCTTTTTAATTTAACTATTAGAGATGGTTCAAACTAAGTTGCATGTTTCTAAAATATTTATCCCATTTTTAGTATATAAAAAATAATAAAATCAATTTTTATAAAACTTATCACCCTTCCATTCACCACTCACTTCATAGCCATCATANAATTATTGAATTAAACTATTTACACTCTAAATACTCTTAAAATCTTTCATCTTTTTCATCTATTATTTAAAAGTATCTCTTAATAATTTATCAATATGTATAATAGGTATCAAACCACATTATTCTTCATCATAATTATCAAACACTTTTTTCATTAAAACTTATGGTGTTTATCTTCTTTACATTGACTCTTCAGAACATAAATATTACATCCATTCACATCTTTCAATTATATTATTATGATTAGTATCTATAATTGACATTTCTTAATTAATTCTAAAATAATCTGGTTCTTCATCTTCATATAACCAAATAAGTAATTTAAGATCTTTAATATTAATAATTGATAATTAATTGACATCAGTTATTGAATATACATTCCATGCTCTAATGATATCCAAATAATCACTCTTCTTAACTGATATATTTTAAAGAAGATGTTAATTCTTTTTATGATCTGCTTTCCAAGCCCAAAGATCTTTTTATTATTATGAACTATCTTCTTATCCAATACTTTTAGATCTTAATGTATATTCTATAATCATATAAAATAAAGTATCTATTGATAATTAATCTATTCCCTTATAAATTTAATATAAATTCTATTGTAATTTAATAGCTGGTACTTAAGGTGCTTTACATTCTCTCAACCATTTATTAAATTATTATTCAGATTCATCCATTACATTAATCATTCTTTTTAATGCATATTAATATGTTTATGTTCCAGAATATAATAACATAAACTCTTACAATTCATCATATTATACAGTCCATTCATAAAATTCATCAAAATCAACATGTTTATTTTTATCTTCATCCATCATTTGGAAACAAACATAACCCAATTTCTCTAACATACTAACAGATGGAATCACTAAACCAGCTATTTTACACATTGCTCTAACTGCACATTATAATGTACTAACCATCTCTTATTCTTCTAAAGTATTTGACAAATCAAAATCAAATAATCTAAAAACAAACATACATTTTGTTTCAAAACTCTCTCCACTAAATATAGCAAAAGCAGCCAATGCTTCAAATGTATGAACTGATAATTTTCCATCTTCTCCAGTCTAATCAGCCAATCTATGAAAAAGATCAATACAATTATCAGTTAATGTTGCAAATATATCGTCAAACTATTCTAAATTCAAATAACAATTCTAAGGATAATATTTGTCTATCGTATCTACACAATCAAAAAGTTCTCTCATTGTTATGCTTTTTAATTTAACTATTAGAGATGGTTCAAATTAAGTGGCATGTTTCTAAAATATTTATCCCATTTTTAGTATATAGAAATAATATAATCAATTCTTATAAAATTTATCTTCCTCCCATTCACCACTCACTTCATATCCATCATATCTTATCAAACTACCTATGCCATTTCTTTTACCATTAATAAACTAGATTTTATATTTTTATAGAATTACATATCCCTCATAATAACTTCCATCAGGATAAGTGTAAACACCATATCCATTAATATCATTATTTTAGAATTAACCTTTGTAAGTACTACCATCTCCCCAAAACATTATTCCATCCCCTTCCATCATATTACATTTGAATTATCCTTCATATCTAAATTTTATTAAAAAACTCATACTTCGATCCATTACTAGACAAGTATACACCTTCTCCTTCTCTCATTCCTCTAATGAAATTACCACAATAGATAGATCCATTCTTGAAATATTCTTCTCCATAACCATGTTTCTCATTATTCTCCCATTATCCCTTGTAAATTGAAGAATTATTGTTAACATATTCACCATATCCCTAAAATCTATTATTTAGAATATTTCCCTAGTAACTACAAACATTAATAAAATAATGTACTATTCATCCTAACTATATTATAATTTGCAGATGCCATTCGCTTTCCCATTAATCCAATTACTTAAATATTATCCTATATATATTACCCTTCCAATATAGATCCATTTGGATAGATCAGAATACCATAACCATGTCTTTCATCATTTTACATCTCACCAATATAAACCAAACCGTCCTCTAGTACTATTGCATTGTCTAATTTATCCTTCTTCATAAGTGTTTCTGAACGCATTGTGACTTTTTCACTTAAATCTAAAGATTCTGAGTTTATTGTTCTACCCTCAGTGCACAAAGTGTACATTTGATAAATTAATCTAAAATTATTCTAAATCTCTCTATTTTTGATACCTAATAAATCATAAATTTTAAATCATAATTAGTATTATGAATAAAACTCTATTTCTTAAATTTATATTCGGTAATGCTCCTCTTTTTTACGATATGATATTATATTCATTACATAACTCTGATTAATTAAAAGACTTTTATACAATAATTATATTAAAATATATTGTGATTTATATATATTATATTTGAAGTAATTTTAAGAGAATTTAATTGACTTTTTAATTCTTAGATAAACATTTTAACTAATAATTCTTCGCATATTACTGAATTACCTTTTGTATAAAACGCTTACAAGTTTAATTCTATGTAATAAAGAATTGATTATTTTAAATTATGATTAAGTGTTATTTGCAATCTTTTTGATATGATCAACAATTCTAATCCATACATATATCATTATTATTCAATTTATTATATATTAAATAATATAATTATATTTATTATTATATGAATTATTAAACTGTTTGGGATTAAATTAAGTTTTATGAACCTCATTTTAAAGATTTCAATTACCTTGATCTCTAAAAGGTTCATGCCAGATTAGCAATCGCTAATAATTATATTTATTATGGATAATTTGAAAACAATTAAAGACATGGAAAAGGTTAATACAAGAATTCTATAAGATAGGTATACTTTTATAATCAAATGGACGTAAATATGAAGGAGAATGGTAAAATGATCAAAAACAAGGTATTGGATGGGAATTGTTGGCTAATGGGTCTCAATATGAGGGAAATTATATTATGGGAAAACCTCATGGATAAGGCAAATTTACTTGGGCTAATGGAGAAGTTTATGAAGGTTAATGGAACTTAGGAATTAAAGAGGGTCAAGGTACAAATTACAATTTTATTATCATAAGGAATATGGCATGGATTAAAAGGTGAATTATATTAAGGAGAATGGAGCAATAATGTAGCATTTGGATATGGAGAACATATTCATAGCAATGGAGATCGTTATGTTGGAAATTTCAAAGATTGGCTTAAAAATGGAGAAGGTTAAGAATACTTTAGTAATGGAGACATGTATTAAGGGAACTATTTAAATGGCAAACCACATGGATATGGAGAATATTATTGGAGTAATGGAGCGGTATTTTAAGGTTATTTTAAAGATGGATTGAGATGTGGGAAAGGTATTTGGAAACGAAGAGTAGATTCCCCAACAGATCTATATTAAGGGGATTATGATGAAGATAAGAAAAATGGATATGGAGTATACAAATGGTCTAATGGCAACGAGTATCATGGGACATTTATCAATGATTACAAAAATGGTTATGGAGAAATGCATTATGTTGATGGTAAAGTACTTAAGGGAAATTGGGAATAAGGAAAATTAGTAAATGAAATTAAATAAAATTCACCTAAAAAAGCATAACATTCATTTGATAATCATATAAAGATAGTTGATAATACTAATAATTTCAATAAAAATTGTTAAAATAAGAATAAATAAATAGATATTTAATATGATAATGAGAACTAAATGTAGAATAATGTTTAGAATGAATTTGATAATGAAATGTAAAGTAATTAATACATAGATGCATCAATTAGTAATAAAAACATTCATAAAAATAATAATAATCCTGTTTCATCTTAAACACATAGAACCACAAAAACAATTCGAATAAGGTAATATTAAAAAGACAAATCCTTTAGTATGAGTCAATAGAATTCATAATATGGACCTTCTAGTCCAAAGAGAGATATTTCAGAAAAAAATGAAAAATAAAAAACACAAACTAAATTTTGCATTAAAACTTCAGATAATTTCTATCTACATATAAGAAGACCAAAATAACACTCTTAATACTATAATTGATTGTACTTACTATTCATTTTTATATACATAAGTATATAATATGTCTAAAATAATAAATAAAAATATTTGGATATGTAGTTGTTAAGAGTTTTTCTTATCCGACACGGACAATCTATGTATCAAAGTCTAAAAATTGTTTCAGGCAAGAATGAATTTGGTTTGAGTGGATTAGGCATAGTCTAATCAAAAAGAGCTGGCACTCTATTACAATCTGTAAAATTTGATTAAGTGTACACTAGTGATTATAAGAGGTATTATAATAAATAGATTAAAGATGTATAGAATCTTATTCTCATATTGAGAGTCAGTTGAATTAAAAACCAAGAGTCATTACATATACACCATTATTAAGGGAAGTTGATTAAGGGGAGGAAATATTAAAGTCTTATTAGGATGTTTATGTCTTAGCTAAACCTAAATATTCCCCAGTTTTAAATGTTGAAATCTAAGAAAGAGTAGAAACCTTTGTTAATCAACTGATTAGAGATTAAATATACAAAAAATCTTATAAATTTGTAATTAATTATATAACATTAGTTTTCATATAGAGATTAATTAGGATCATAAATCGATATAAATAACTTATACCACCCTTCAGTTTAATAGTTTAGCTCTTATTCAAAGGGATCAAGGATGATTAATGTTTTGGTTTTAAGTCATGCTGGATTTATAGCAGAAACTCTAAGATATCTATATTAAAGACATAATTCTCTTTAATTTAATATTGATTATCCATGTATATATGCTAGAAATGGAGCTATATTTTAATTAGACTTCTAAATAAATGATTTAGAAAATTGGAATTGCAATGTATCCATGATGAACTCAAAAAGAAAAATAAATACTCCTTTTGATTCCATTAATTGAATATTTATAAATCTAAATCAATATTTTAGTTATATTTAGTAGTTGCATAATATAATTTCTATTTTTTCATTATTATTCTATATTTAATTACTATTGAAAAATTTATATATCTTAATTTTATAATTCTGAAGACATGAAAAATAATTCAGTAATAACTTAATCTATAGATATTTGATTTTAATTAAGAGAATGAAATAAATAATTATATTGTTTAAATAATAATAAAAGAAATTTATTAAAATAAGTGATTTTTATCAAAAAAGTATTTTTAATAATTCGAATTCTCCAAAAAAATTTAAATTATTAAGTTCTTAACTTCCATAGACACTCCATGAACCAACAAATTTATTTCCCTCATTGTTGTATTTTCCTTTAAATTATTGTAGTAAATATAAATGATCACTTCTATCATTCTTTTCTAATAATTCACAATCAAGGCTTGTTCTCAAATAAATTTATATTTCTGATTCTGAGTTTGTAAATATATGTCCTTCAGCTGACCAAGGATAATGATCTTATTCCAATTTAATTTAAAGCTCAAGTTTATTATGAGATATAAAAATTGGCTAGAATCTTAGTATTTTTTGAGTAGATTAATTCTTAAAATTGAAGCTGGTTAACTTCCATAAAGAATATTAAAACTAAACTTAGATACTATTTAGTATTTTGATGTTGGATTATAGTGAATGAGGTGTTTCTTATAATAATTTCTATTTAATTTCTTTTTTAACTTTCTTTCTTCTGCTAACTTCTATGATTGTTCCACAAACACAGATGAGCAAAAAGAGACAAATTAATAGTATAATTACAAGATAGCCGTCATTATAATCTTAATTCTATTCTGATTTAATGGGTTATTTATTGTTAGAAGTCTAGTCAACGTCTTTTTCTGACAGAAATCTTATATTTTTAGAACCATATATTTCCTCTATTTTATTTTAAACAATTAGTTAAACTAGTTCATGTAACATCTTATAAGATTAAATCTTTATTATTGAAATAATTCATAATTTCTTTTGAATGAGCATAATTATATATTAAAAATTAGATATATTTAATATCATCATCTAACAATTAATTTAAATATTTTAAAAACCAAAATATATTTATTTTAATAAAAGAAAGATCTAACCAAGATACAACATATTAATTTAAATTGACATTTATACTCTTTTATAACAAATACCCATATTTCAACTTAATTCTTTTTCTACTTCTGCTAAGTCTTTGGGCATTTCATCAATTTTAGTGTTGTAATATTTTTCAACTTCTAACAAGAGATTAGCTTCTTATTGTGCTACCATATTAATGGCAACTCCCTTTCTACCATATCTACCAGCTCTTCCAACTCTAAAATAATAGATTTCAATATTATTACCTATGGATATATTGTTCCTTTAATCTTGGGAATTCATAATTGATGACTAATGATAATTATTGTACATCAATTCCTCTACCCATAAGATCTGTTGAAACAAGTATTCTGGCAGCACCTTTTTTGAATTCTTGCATAACCTAATTTATATACAATTAATTTACTTATTCTCTTTCTTTTTATTCCATTTGACTATGTATTTTACTTACAGTAAAACCTTCAGTAGTCAATTTATCATACAAATCATCAACGGTTTTTTTGGAATTGCAAAATAATATTGATTAAGAAACTGTTAAATTTTTATACAATTCAACCAAAACTTTGAATTTTTGATCTTCTTGTTGGATTGCAATGTAGAATTATCTAATACCCTCTAATGTCAATTATTCTTTTTTAACCAAAATCTTAGCTGTTCCTTCTCTCAAAAACTATTTACTTAATTCAATAATTTCTTATGGGAAAGTAGCACTAAATAATGCTAANGCTAACTTCTATGATTGTTCCACAAACACAGATGAGCAAAAAGAGACAAATTAATAGTATAATTACAAGATAGCCGTCATTATAATCTTAATTCTATTCTGATTTAATGGGTTATTTATTGTTAGAAGTCTAGTCAACGTCTTTTTCTGACAGAAATCTTATATTTTTAGAACCATATATTTCCTCTATTTTATTTTAAACAATTAGTTAAACTAGTTCATGTAACATCTTATAAGATTAAATCTTTATTATTGAAATAATTCATAATTTCTTTTGAATGAGCATAATTATATATTAAAAATTAGATATATTTAATATCATCATCTAACAATTAATTTAAATATTTTAAAAACCAAAATATATTTATTTTAATAAAAGAAAGATCTAACCAAGATACAACATATTAATTTAAATTGACATTTATACTCTTTTATAACAAATACCCATATTTCAACTTAATTCTTTTTCTACTTCTGCTAAGTCTTTGGGCATTTCATCAATTTTAGTGTTGTAATATTTTTCAACTTCTAACAAGAGATTAGCTTCTTATTGTGCTACCATATTAATGGCAACTCCCTTTCTACCATATCTACCAGCTCTTCCAACTCTAAAATAATAGATTTCAATATTATTACCTATGGATATATTGTTCCTTTAATCTTGGGAATTCATAATTGATGACTAATGATAATTATTGTACATCAATTCCTCTACCCATAAGATCTGTTGAAACAAGTATTCTGGCAGCACCTTTTTTGAATTCTTGCATAACCTAATTTATATACAATTAATTTACTTATTCTCTTTCTTTTTATTCCATTTGACTATGTATTTTACTTACAGTAAAACCTTCAGTAGTCAATTTATCATACAAATCATCAACGGTTTTTTTGGAATTGCAAAATAATATTGATTAAGAAACTGTTAAATTTTTATACAATTCAACCAAAACTTTGAATTTTTGATCTTCTTGTTGGATTGCAATGTAGAATTATCTAATACCCTCTAATGTCAATTATTCTTTTTTAACCAAAATCTTAGCTGTTCCTTCTCTCAAAAACTATTTACTTAATTCAATAATTTCTTATGGGAAAGTAGCACTAAATAATGCTAAGATAAACTTTAAATTTCAGAAATACCAATTTAAATATCTCCTGGTACCATTTTTAGGATTTCTGCGAAGTTATCACTAAAACCTTAGTCTAACATTTAATCAGCTTCATCTACAACAAGCAATTTCATAAATGTAGCATCCAAATATTTATTTTTCATCATATCAATCAATCTACCTGGAGTAGCAATAATGATGTGCACTCCTTATTTGCATTTTTCTCTGGTCTCCTGGGTTGAGGTACCACCAATGCAACAGAAAGCTTCAATGTTCAAGTATTGACCTATTCCTTTAACCACATCATAAATTTGTTTAGCCAATTCTCTAACTGGAGCTAAAATGATGACTTAAGTCTTTCTTTGGTTTGGGTCGATTCTCTATAAAGCACCAATAGTGAATGTACCAGTTTTACCAGTTCCTATGTTAAATTTTTCAATGATAAATACATACCTGATTATGCTTGTGCCAAGACATCTTTTCCTAAAATGATTGGTTTGATGGCTTTTTGTTAGATAGCTGATGGTCTTTCAAAACCATATGAAAAGACTCCTCTAAGTAAATCTTTGCTCAATGTTAATTCTTCAAATGTTTCGACTTGCTTAAAAAAATACTTCATTCGATTACCTCTATCCAATTTTCTTGTAAATCTTGTGTTTGTTGATCCATAATGATTCTAATAAAATATTTTATTTTCTTACTTTAGACAATGTTCTTTTTATTTTAAATAAAAGATTTAAATTGTCCCCTATATAACATTGAAATTTAATAATTCCCAAACTAATTATAATACAAACTAATAAAACCATTTTAAATGACTTTAAGACTTATTATCAACAAATCTATGTAAAATTAATTGATTGATTATCCTTATATATGTTTTTCACTCTCTAATTAATTTAGAATCATTAAATATAATCATATTCTTTTATCAAAATAATAAAATCTTAGAATTTATATACTCAAACATATAATAATATAATATATTATATATGATCTATTCACAAAAAGACAGAAATTTTAATAAGTTGTTGAATTTTCAGAAATAAGAATATCTAATTAAGATATAAACATAAAAAAAATAAAATGAAATAAAATGAAGTAATTATTTTATATAAACAAATGAGAATACTGGAATCTATATAAATGATTATAGTTGATAATATAATTCAATATATGTATAATAACAATTATTTTATTTAAATTTTATATTACATCATTTAATTATTCTTTAAGAATTTAGATTTAAAAATTAAAAATCAAGAATTTCTTTCTTTAAGTTAAATGGAAATAGTTGTATAGATTAAAAGTTCTTCTATTTTAGATATAAAAAACATTTTAGTATATAATTGTAATTAAAATAGACATAGTTTAGTTTACCATATTTTATTAGAAACTAAATTATGTTCATTTTAATATTGATTAATAAATATAACAACAGAAAAAAAACTCATAAATTAAAAGAACAAAGAAATTGATAATGATTTAAATAGTTGAAGAGAGGAGTGGTATTCAATCTATTAATTTTAGAGGGATAATAATAATAATAATATGAAATAGATGGAGTTTCAGAAAGAATATGGGAAGAAGGTAATAAAGCTTTTAATTTTTAGCTGCTAATTAATATAGATAAGAAATATAGGTATCTAATACAAAATATAGTAAATCTAGTAATTACAACTCTAATTGTGGTAGAATAGTGTTGATAAAATGTTTTAAAAGTCAAATGGAGTTCCGAAGAAATATCTACAAAAATTAAAAATGATGAAAATGGGAAAATCAAACAGATAATGTAGTATATGCTGTAATTAATTCTAAAAAGGTATATACTTTTTATTTAAATAGATGAACTAATTATACAGCTGCCTTGTAAACATATATATCATAAATCTTGTGTTGACTCTTGGCTTCAAAGTAGTACGAAATGTCCAAATTGTCGATCAGACGTATTAGAGGCCTTAAAGATTTAGGAGAAATGATTTACATTTCTATGGAAAAGATTATATAAAAACAAAAAAATTAATGCATACAAATACTGATTGCTTTAGAAAACTTTACAATATTCACTTTAACTCTATCCTCCAAAATAATTGGAAGCAATAATGCAATTCTATACTATTACAAAAATTCAAATTATTTTCTTTAAATGAGTTACTTCAAAATATTCAGTTTTTTTATATTATTTAATTTGGAGGGTGGATCTAAATATATTAATAAATCGGTATTCTTTTATAATCCATTTTTAATATTTGTTATAAATCTTAATACATTTAATATCCACTATTAAAAATTATCTTGAGATATTACAATATTATTTAAAAATATGTGAATTAATATTAATCTAAATTAAAACATAGGATTATTCATTAGAATTATTTAACTATAATAGATGATTTAAGATCCATTATGTATCTGAAATTAGTATTAATTTTAAATTATTTCATTCTATATTTGCATTTCAATTATATTAAGATAAGTAATCATTAAATTTGAAATATTATTAACTAAAATTATATATTCACCTTAATAACTTATAGTTCTAATAAGTTTCTCCATAAATGAAAGACTGTTATTAATAAAAATAAAATGTTCTTTAAAAGACTTAATAATATAGAAAATAAGATGATTATAAATACTTATACTACCTAAATATATTGCAATACCAATATTTTGAATATTCTTCTTGTAATTTTATGTAAATGAGTAAATTTGAAATTCAATTCATGTTTATAAACACAGGAAAATTAAATACATATATTAATAAATTAATTCTACAATGAATTTTAGTATTTATTAAATTATCTGCTAATTTTGAATCCATAAACATTGAATGTCTATGATTAATCTTCTTCTCATATAGTAAATTTGTTCCTACATCTAATTGATTTAATAATAGATCATTTTATAATATATTAAAATAGCATTTACTTAGTTCTAGATCTTTATAGAGGAAGTCTTTTTATGATAAGTAATGATAATTGATTGTTATTGTGACAATTGATTTCTGTATAAAGTAAAGTTAAATGTTAAATAATTACATAATTTTATTAATATTATCTGTTATGATGAATAATAACAATAAGAAACCCTAATCTTAGAAAGATGTTAGAGCAAAAGTAAATTCTGGGTTAAATCGTAAAAATGATATCCCATAAAAAAGAATTTAATCTGCAATATAGTCGGTATTTGTATTATATTAATTTAGGCTGATAAATTAGTTGATTCAAATGGAACATTGTCAGATCAATTAAATAACATAGTGTAAGATTATCTATTGAGAAATAATTGTTTCAAAACATTGGAATAATTTAGAGTAGAATCTTAATTTGCAACAGAATAAAGTAATGAAACAGAAAATATTATATTGGGTTATTTTGATAGAGGTGAAAAAGATAAGTTTATGGAATCATGGAGTAGATACATTCCAATTCAATAAAGATAAGATCATGAATCTTGGAAGCTAGAATTTTATGTTTAAATATATTTCCTTATATACCCAATTCATCCAGTTTTTATGAAGAAAGGTGTGATTGATAAAAACTCTATTAATCAATTTAAATAATATCTCGATAGTAAAGGAGGTGATTTATCAAAAACAAATGAAGTTTTACCTTTTTATGCTTTACCTTATGTCAAAAATCCAGAAATTCATTAAAGCTTTTCACATTTATTTACTCATGAATGGATTTCTGAATTGAGATTTAGATTGAAGGAATTTATTTAATCTATTTATGGTTAAGATCATAATGGTAGTATTTTAAAAAGATTATATTTATCAAAGGAAGGATCATCAAATATCTAATAATAAGAATTTTAAAAAAAGATTGCAGATAATATTAGATAATTATAATAGGAAAATAATGAATTAAAGAAAAAAAATATTTAATAAGCTTAAGCATTATAAGATATTAATTAAACAGCATCATAAAATTTATTTGAAGCCTAAAAAAAATGGTTTTAATTTACAGGTGACATGTTAAAAATGGAGAAAGAGATGATCAAATATATAGAAAATAATAAAAAGAATCCAGATTAATTATAATAATTTAAAAAGAAGATTGGTTAATGTGATAAATTTTTAAGTTAGAATATAGATGAATTAATAAATAAATCATAAGATATATCTTTATTTGATAGAATCACTTAACCTGATCATGATCTATCAGATTTAACTAATTAATAATGTAATTTTTATTATATAAAATAATAGAAATGATGCCAATCCAATAATCAATTGAAGAGTATATTCCATTAAATTATGAGAAGATCATTTAATTATTTACAAAAAATAATAATCCAGTTCTTGTTGCAACAGTTCTATAAGCTTTAAGATGGAGAATTACAAGAGCAAGAAGTGCATTAGAAAGAAGATCTGTAGTTGTTGCATATTAAACACATGATCTTATTGGTACTCATTAAAGAAATATTGCTTTGGCTTAATATTTAATGATGAAATCTCCTTAAATAATTTAATGTTAAACATTAAAATTAATGAATGCATTGGCATCAGATTATGATGGTAGAACATATTTAACAGGTAATTCATAATTAATTAAACTTTTGATTGAATTGATAAAAAAAGATTCAACTGATTCTATCAAAAGAAAGAATGCAATTGGCACTTTATAAAAATTATCATTGAGAAGATAAAGTTAAATTTGGATGCTTGATAATGACATTATTTAGGTTGCCTTAAATATTTTAAAGAGAGTAATAATTAATTATTAAAGTTTAGGAAAAATTTAATTTGAGTGAATACACTTATGAATATATCACAGCTTTAATTATGAATTTATCATTAAGTTCTAGAGGTAGAGATGCTTTATCAATTTATAAAGAATTAGCATTTGAAGTCTTATTCGAATTAATTGAATATCCTAATGATTAAATTAGAACATTTACTAATGGAACATTCTATTCTATGTTTAGTAGAAGAGATCTAAGAGAATATGCTTATTAATTAAATATACCTTAAGAATTACCTAAATTATTATCAATTAGTGATGAAAGATTCAAAAAATAAATCTAATATATGATTGAATAGTTAGAAAATGATGATGATGATTATGATCAATCTTAATTAGAAGAAGATAATGATGTAGATGATTTAGAAGATGATGAAGAATGTCCAGTTGATGATGATGATGAAGATGATCTAGAGAATAATGATATGATTGTTGGTGAAGAATTATTAAAAAATGAATTTGCTTTAGATAATGAATAAGCAGAATAATAAAGATTATTAATGGAATCTATTATGCAAAAAGAATTATAATAAAGAAGTGCTTATTAAGAATAATTAAGAGAGTCATAGTTGGAAAAAATGCCTGTTGGATGTAAATATATATATATATATTATATCAATAGAAGGACCATTTATAGCTGATAGTCTTATTTCAAATGTGAATAACAATAACAAAATTACAAATGGAAATCCAAAACATCCACAATAATCTGCATAAGCCTTTGCCCCTAGACCAAAGATTCCCAGAACTCCTCCAGTTCAATAGAATTATTAACATTGATAAATGATTTAATATTCATTAATCATTTACTATAAATATTAAATTATAAGTATTTATGAAAGCTGAAGAATAAACAGAAGACTTAATTCTCTGTCCTTAAGGTTGTGGAAGAAAGTTCAATAAAGATAGTTTACTTAAACATTATAAAGTTTGCAAAGATGTCTTCTAACAAAAGCGTAGTGCATTTAATTCTTAATTAAAAAGAGTTGGATTTGATTATTTTATTGAAAATAAGTAAAAGTTACCCCAATTCTCTCCACCTAAAACTACTAAATTAAAAACAGAAATACTCCCTTATAGAAGTCCTTAAGTTTCCTCAAAATATAATTAAATTTTAAATGCAAAGAAATTCTGTAAAGGATGTTTGAGAGAATTTGATTTTAGGATAGCTGATGATCATATTTAAAAATGCGTATAGAAAAACAAATAGAACAATCCATTCACAAAAATTATTTGATTTAAATTTCTTAAAATTATAAAATTAAATTTTGTATTTTTACAAAAAATAGATTCATTTCTTAAAAAAATTTAAACTCTTCTAAGCCTTACTTTCAATTTTAGATGGAACCTTGTTTTTTGAACCAGAAAAATTTCTATTTGACTCATCTGATTATTCTACTATTACATTTTATTATGTTATGCATCTATCTATATGCTTATTTAATACAGTATTATTCCCTTTACAATCAATTTCCTTATTACAAATAGGACAACGAAATGATTTTGGTTATGCTTACTATTTTTATTAATATTATTGTTATTATTATTGTGATTAATGACTTTTACTATTAACTCCAGATAGGATCTAATTACTAATACTACTAGCCTCATCATCACTTAATATATCAGGTTTTGATTGATCTTGTTATGGTAATTGTATTTTATTAATAGAATCATTTTCATCAGAAATTTAATGAGATTTTGAACCCTTGATAGATGGTACTAAGTTTTCTTAGCCATTTGATTTATCAATTTGTCTTTTGAAATAAGTAGAGATGGATTATTTTTAAATTTATTTTTCATTTGCTAATGAGCTCATTTTTAATCCAAGTAATCTTATTGGTTCATCTAATTACATAATCTTAAGTAATTATTTTCCATATATAGCAATTTATTTAGATTGATTTGTATATTAATTAAGTTACAATGATTTACTTCTTATTTCAAATTTAGATGTTTTAATAATCAAAGTAAGATGATTTCCAACTTTTTCTTCTGATTACATTTCTTCTGCTAATATTTCTGCTATATAATCAATTTTATCTTCAAATTCTCTTTAAGTACTTATGCTAGAAAAAGTTCTTTAACAACTTATACTATGTTAATCTTCAAATTCTACATGATAGTTTCTTGATACTCCCCAACAAGAATAAAATATATATTCAAAAGTTTTAGGAGTAAAGATTACATAAAGTTCATCAGCTCTGTCTCTGACATCCTTACAAATATTAAAATTTAATCCAATTAATATTTATTCAGTGATATTCCCAATTCCAGGGATCTTTCTTATAGGTAATTTTTCTAAAAAATTAAGAACAGCTGAGGGAGTTTATTCAACAATATGTAATCCATTAGGTTTATTAATTTCAGAAGCAAGTTTAGCAATCATTTTATTAGGACCAACTCCACAACTTGCTGTGAGTTGAGTTGCTAAGAATATATCTTTTCTAATATTTTCACATAGTATTGCTGGATCTTCTTAGGAATTATTTATATATTCTGTAAGATCTAAATTTGCTTCATCCAACCCCATAGATTCTAGATTGTCATCATACTTCTTCAGGATAGTCATAAAAATCTAATGTAAATCTAATTCAAATACATTTGAAACACTCCTATATTTCTCAAAATGACAAGGAATAAATATGAGATCTGGACATAACTTCTTAGCTACAAAACCTGGCATAGCAGATCTAACACCATATTTTCTAGCAACATAATTTGCTGTAGATATTATACTTTAACCTACAGCAACTGGTTTATCTTTAAGTTCTGGTTTATCTAATAGTTCACAAGCTACATAAAACATATCCATATCAAAATGCGCCCAAATTCTATCTGTGTTAATTTAAAATTCTTTCACTTTATTCTAAATAAATTCTTTTGTTTCTTTGATTTTTAGTTCATTCTTCTTATAATTATCCAATTCCATCTACATCTTATTCACTTTTTAAAGAACTTATTATCGTTTCTCCTATTATCTTTTATAATATTCAGATCCTCTAGTTGCATCATCAATTACTTATTTAACTTAATCTGCTCCTTCAACACCTGCTTTATTGCCATAGTAATGAAAAATTGGTTCATTCATAATAAATAAATATATTCATTATTATTCAACATTCTTTTTTTACTATTTTTGATGATTTAATTAATTAAAACTAATCAGCAATTAATTAAAATCATCTTTTATTATGTCATTTTATATATCTCATCTTAAAAATCAAATAAAATTTAAAGGTATTTCTGCATATAATAATAATATATAAATTATAAAATCAGCTCCATTTAATTCTTCTTATATAATGTCTTTCTATTATTATCTTTCCCTCTTTATATTTCTCCGACTCTCTATATGCTTTAATCTAATTGATGAATCAACACAATCCTTAATACATATTTCCATCCAATCACTTTATTACAGCCATTGCAAATAACATCTTAGACTATATGCTTTCCAGTCATTAAATCCTTATCTTCAGGTTGTCCAACATGATAATTGATACTTATTATTAATGATAAAGTACCCTTTCTCAAACAGAAATGCTTGTCCTATTCCACCCCTAAAATTCTATAATCATTTACTTAATCATACCTTTGATATTCTACTCTTGTAATTTGATATATGTATGTGACATTTTGTGCATACATAAATTCTATTTCCATCCAAATACTCTAAAATTATTTTACCCATCTTTAAAATGATGAATTAAGTTCTTGATTATTTATTAAATTTTTCAATTAAATTATATTAAATTAATACTAAATAACCAAGTAAGTATATTATAACAAAATTCTAATCATATTTATCCATTTTCTTTTGATTTTAAATCCAAATTATTATAAAGATAAGAATAATAACATTATTAATTCACATACCTTAAAGATATATAAACAAGTTTGTAATTCTATATTTGTTATTTAAAAAAGATAGATGAAAGCAAAAAATTAATAATTATCTTTAATAGTTTAATGTTTAATAAGCAATGTAACTGAAAGAAATCTGCAAAATATCTAAATTAATATTATTATTTATAATATCATTATTTATTTTTAAATTATTTATGTAAGATATCTATAACTTATATAAACTAAATAATATGAATTAGTTTATTATAATGAATAGCATTTCATTTGATTGATTTTAATTGTATTAATTAAAAATAATTTATCAAAATGTTATTGGAATTGTTTATAAAACTGAATAAATGAATTTATATTACTTTATCCTTTTTTTTCCAATCTTGTTAATATTAATACCTTGATATTGTTTTCAAATATCAGAGAAGATTTAGAACTTTAACATCAATTTTTGGGTTATAAAAAATTTTGAATTTTTCAGAGATTATGAGGAATACTCTTTTATTATCTTATTGACAAGTGTTATATTTATTAATAAGAAATGAAAGGAAATATCATAAATAGGTATTTGATTCTCCATTTTTCATTAATATTTAATAAACTTAAAAACTAATTTTATGACTAATAAACCATTATTCATTACAATTATTAAATAACCTTATGGTTTCTAACTTTATTTTTATATAAAATAGATTTTTACTGTGAAATTTAAGTTTTATTTGTGCTATTATAATAATTGATATTAAGATTGTCTGATTAGTAAAACAATATAGTATTTCTTTATTTTCTCAATAGAGTGAAGCTATAAATCTTTAAAGAATTGATACGAATAAAAAGAATGAGTTCAATAAACATCTAATACAAAATATATATATATCAAAATATCTTGAAGTTTCATATTCCTGGAGTAAGTTAATTACTTCTTCGTTTCATGATATTGCTTTTTGAAGCAGGTACAAGAATGGGAACTTAGACAAGCTTTCCAAGTGTTGGATTATAAACTTCTAAACTTTATTTTTAATCAGGGGAAACTAAACAAAATCAAAAAAGAAGATATTACAAGTATTTGCATTTGTCGAATAACGCTTGCTGATTATTTCAATTTATTTCTGTTTTTATAATGAACATCCCATTTTATTTAAGTTTTTAATTAATTTATATGGGAATTAAGTGAATAAGTGATAGTAAGTATATATCCATTTAAGTCAATTTCAGTACTTTAATCAGTACATATTTTAAAACATAAAATAATTACAATCACTATTCTTCATCATTATCATCTGGATATTGTTCTTCATCTTAAAATTCGTCTTCATTATATTAATTTTATTCTTAATTTTCATCTTGTTATTTATCTTAATCTTATTATGGAGTTTAATTATCATTATCATTTTCATAATCATTATCATCCTAATAATTATTAAAATTCTCTTATTCATAATCATCTTTTTATTGATTTTCTTTATTATCTTCTTCCATTTTTTATTTATCTTAAGAATTAGATTTATTATCAGATTATTAATTTTATTTTCTATCCTAATCTACATTTAAATTATATGAACTTTTTCTTTAAGTATTCAAATTAGTATTTTGTTTTTTAATAGGTTAGAATTTATTTTATTTAGTTTTACTTGTTTCAGTTTCAAATTTAGATGAATTCTCTTTCTTATGTGTTCTATCTGAAAGTTAAGTATTGAAATGAGTTTAATTATTTTTTTTATTTAATCTTTCAGTTGTTTATTATTGATCTTTGAAAGAAGGTTTCAATAATTTTTATAACAAATTCAATTTTTCTATATTTCTAATTGATTAAACAATAAGAATACTTTTAATTTAATATGGATGGTATCTATGCATAAGGACTAGTCAAAATAACATTTTTTATTTTAGATTAATCAAAAGGCTGTTTAATAAAACCTTGATTTGTTGTTGAATTAGTATAATCTCTTATAGATATCTTTTATGCCAAATCAAGATCATCTTTAAGTGCTTAATATCTAAATTAAGAGAATGATAATTTTCTATATTCAAATGAATATTTACTTAATTAACTATTATTCTTCTTCAATTTTTAACTAATACTCTTATTATTATTAATCAAATTTAGCTGAAAGTTCTGCTTTCTTTTTTATTTAAGAATTTCTAACATTTTCTATTTTTTCTATTCTTTACATATCTAATTTTTATTTCATTCTAAATTTCTATTCTTAAATCTATGAGACTAAGCATGGCTTAAATTTACCTTTTAGAATTGCTACTATTTAAGTTAGAGCTCTTCATTTTAACTATGTTTATATTGCAATTGATAGAGCATTTATCTTTCTTTCATTACTTCTTATTCAAGTCTTTTTTCTTCATCCAAATCTCTTTTTCTTCTTAAAGCATCTTCTTCTTGTAATTGTTTCAATAACTTAATTTTACTGTTTCTGTTTTCTTATTCTTAATTCAGATTTTCAATTCTTCTACTAGACTAAATAAATATAATGCAGATAATACATCTGATTAATCTTTAAATGCATTCTTTTTAGTTTCTAAAATTTTATTAACCTTGAATTCAATGATATGATTGTTAGATTCTTACAATTATAATTATTATTTTAATTATGAAATTCTAGAATCAATCAACCCTAACTCCTATTATTTCTAAATTAGAGATCTTGTCTATTATGATATTGATTTCATTGAAATAAAAAATATATTAATTATTATTATATTATCAATTCAATAAATTTAGATTATCTTCATTTTTACACATACAAAAGATCTCAATATTATTTTAATTTACATAAATTGTTCCCTTATTTTTATTAATATTGGTCAATCTTTTTATACACTAATATTAATGTTTGAAACTCTTTGTAACTATTTAGTTCTTTAGTAATTTATATTAACTTGAAAAATGTTATTTAATTTATCTAAAATTATTATTAAATATGATGTTTAACTATTTAATACTTTAAATTTAATTATTCATCTTTTTTATATTTATTTATATCAAACCCATAAAATATCATTTTTATTAAAACTATATAAGTAAATTTCTAACTTTACTTAATTCACTTACCTGGCGAGCACTGCTGATGATCATGCAGATTAGCAGTGTGGGGTTAAGCTGGCCATCGCACAACCGGCGTCAGTGAGGCTCCAAAACTTTCCGTTTGGAAAGGCTTTATCGCTCAATTTCTGCTAGTGAGGGGAAACCCTCGCACCCTCCTTTTTTAATTAAACAAACGAAATTATATATATATATGTTAAACTTATGAAGAATAAATAGTTAAATACATCTTAGAGTTCATATTATTTAATAGATTAAATATTTTCATACTTTGATTATGTTTCTTCATTTAAATCATAGTACTTTAAAAAATAATGCTATATAGAGTACTCTTTTTTAAATTGAAATATATGTCTTCAACTGAAATATAATTATTTATTTAATTTAAATGAACCATTAAAATATGATTAATGAAATTGAACAATGCTTTTCATCTTAAGAAGCTTATGCAAAAATAAAAAAGTATAAAGACACTTTTCGTGAATAACAAAGGTTTTGTTTATTTTTATTTTAGTTAAATGTCTCCAATTATTTGTGAGGCAATTTGTGCAACAATGACTGAAGGCACTCCAATGAGTAAATTATTAGCCTTGAGAGTAAAATATTATCATCTAATTCTAGCTATGTAAGGAATTGATGGACTTAAAATCAGATTCATTTACCAAACAAGTCAATGATAAAATTCTTTCGAAAATGAAATAAATTGCAATCTTTAGGAAAAATGATCAAAGTGATATCAGAGGTAAGTTTTTATTCTCTGACAATCCATGTATCTATTTATTAATAAGCAAGCCAAGGAAATAGCATCTATTGGAAATAGTTTAATGAAATTATGTCTAGATTGCATTAAAGTTTGGGCTTTTTGGTATCCTTAGAGCAATTTTAAAGTTGTTTATGATGATTTAATTGTATAAGGTGTCACATTTCCAGCAAAATACACTTACTTTAAAGAATATAATGATAATCCATCATCTTTAAATTAATCACTAATTCTATCATCTCACTCATCTAAGGAGTAACCTTTAAAACAATCTATTCCTAATTAAAAAACACAAATAGATGGATAATAATTATTATAACAAATTAACTTTGAAATTGAAAATCTAGTTAATATAGTATAAGATTAAGAATCAAATGAAACAGTTAATAATTTAAATCTAATAATAAAACATAATCTAGATCAATGTAATGGATAAATAGAGTAGGTTTTAATACATATTATTGACTCTGGTGAGGAACATTTAATTAATGATTTAATATCCAAATAAGAAATTGTTAACCAAATTAAACAAGATTATGAAGATTATCTTATAAAAAAACTTGATTGGAGTAAACTTGGTTAGAAATTTAATAGATTTTCTTCATTAGCTTAAACTCCTGAACCTAATTAAATAAATATATCTTCATATTAAAAATAGCAACCAAATCAATAATAAGCATAATCTATTCAATAACATGTTAAATCGAAAGCTGATCAAGCTCTGTCTATTATCCGAGAAGAAACTATTTAAGATGCTGATCAAATAGAAAAATCTAAACAAAAAGAGTCAGATATTCTTTAGGAGGACAATAAAGTAATATTAATTCAGAATATTAGATTTCAATGAAATATTAGTCTCTAGTGTTAAATTAGAATGAAAATATTAAACCAGGTGCTTAAACATTTCAATCAGAATTATATAAAAAAGATAAATTACAATAAGAAAATAAAAAACAGATCTATAAATCTTTATCTGTTGAAGTTAATGATGATATTAATTAGAATGAAATTTAAACTAAAATTACTAAATAAACTGATTATACAAGCACTAAATAATCAAAATAAACAATTTAGAACCTTAATAAAAATATAGAATAATAGTCTCCAAAAGTTATAGCTAATTAAGAATTAAGTAATATCTAAGCAAACCAATAAAATTTAAATTCAACAATACTCTATAAAACTATTAATAATTAGATATAAACTAATCAAAAAGATTAATAATAAAATTAAGAAGATAAGGAACTAAAAAATAAAAAAAATAGTGATAATGATTTAGAAGAACAAAAATCATTAATAAAGAACAACGAAAAGGAAATTAAAATTTAGTAATAGTAATAATAGTAATAATAATAGTAATAATAATAACAATAACAATAATAATAATAATAATAATAATAATAATAATAATAATAATAATAATAATAATAATAATAATAATAATAATAATAATAATAATAATAATAATAATAATAATAATAATAATAATAATAATAATAATAATAATAATAATAATAATAATAATAATAATAATAATAATAATAATAATAATAATAATAATAATAATAATAATAATAATAATAATAATAATAATAATAATAATAATAATAATAATAATAATAATAATAATAATAATAATAATAATAATAATAATAATAATAATAATAATAATAATAATAATAATAATAATAATAATAATAATAATAATAATAATAATAATAATAATAATAATAATAATAATAATAATAATAATAATAATAATAATAATAATAATAATAATAATAATAATAATAATAATAATAATAATAATAATAATAATAATAATAATAATAATAATAATAATAATAATAATAATAATAATAATAATAATAATAATAATAATAATAATAATAATAATAATAATAATAATAATAATAATAATAATAATAATAATAATAATAATAATAATAATAATAATAATAATAATAATAATAATAATAATAATAATAATAATAATAATAATAATAATAATAATAATAATAATAATAATAATAACAACAGTAATAATAATTATTATTATCATAATAGTAATAGTAATCAGAAGATTATTAAAATTCAAAAAAAAATAATTATGATGAAAAAGTTAATTAATTAAAATCTGGATTAAAAATTGAAGGATTTGATTAAATTTATAGTTTTTCTTAAAGATAATAAAACCTCAATGAAAAAAAAAATGGAAATTTAAACTAAATAGATGCTTAAGTTAAATTAGAAGGCTAAATTAATTAAATTTAAGAAACTTATATTAAGTAAAAGCAAATATAAAATTTTAAGTAAGACTAAGCAAATAATAGTTCAAGAATTTCTTAACCATCCTTAAGTTTAAGTTAAGTATCCTAAAGAAAGTTAGAATAATCTTAACAATAACATAGAAGCTCTTCATAAAAGCGAGAAAATTATCATGTAAATGACAAAATAGAAATAGAACTTTTAAAGGAAGAAAATCAAAGATTAAAATAATAAGTTACTTAGATTATAGAAAAATATGAAATCAAATAATAATAATATTCTTAAGAATTATAAGATAAAATTAATGAGATTTCTAATTTAAAATAGATTTTATATGAGAAGAATGATAAAGTTGATAGTAACAATTAATTGCTAAAATAATTCTAAGAATATTAAAAACTCTAATTAGATTACTAAACTCTTGACTACAAACATAATTAATTATAAAAACAATATGATAATCTATATTAATAGCATGAACAGATTTTGAATGAAATGTAATTAAAATCAAAATAGATTGCCTTATAAAGTAAAGAAATCTATGAATTAAAATAAAATAAGTAATAAGAATTTGAAATTAAAAAGAGAAGTGAATCAGTAGGTTAATATTCAAAAACAGCTTAACAATTCCATCCATATAATTCGAACTTAAAATAAAGTTTCTATGATGAACCTATTTTGACAGAAAGTTAAAAAAGAATTATTTTTCCATTCACAAATCCATTTGAATATTATAGGGATCGTTTAAAAAATAATTAAAAAGGCATGATTTCTGCTTCTTATTCTGAATGGTAAAACTTAAATTTAGATAATTAAAATATTGGATATTTAAAATAATCAATCTTATCCAATTAATCCTTACTATTTACATGTAAATAATTGGAAATTGGATGTAAATTAGATAAATTTAATGAAAGAAAAATGATATTACATCTATTTTTTTTGAATTCCAATAAATTATCAGGTTTTAAAATGGATTTAAATTTTTAATTTGTTAATGAAATATCAACTGGAATTTAAAAAAGATAGTCGATTTAATTATATTAAGATTCTTCTGAAGATCAAGTAATTGAATTTAATATTAATTAATTTCCTTTTGGAATTTCTTTTGTAAACATAAAAATTTAAACAACAAAAACAATTAATTACAAATGTTATTTACCAATTTCATTGTTTAGTTGCTTTAAATTTATAAGTTTATCTTTAAAAGAATATTAGATATATTGGCAATCAGTAAAAAATTATGTAATAAGAAGTCAAGAATTTGAATACAATTTTTGTTGGGTAAGCAATGTGTTCAGTAAGAATATTTTGGTTTTAGAATTGAATAGTCATAAAAAAAAGGAGTTTCTAGCAGGGATTGATGAAATTAAATATGGATCAATAATATAATGTGATAATTCAAATTATTTAGTAAGATATATATTATAGCCAAATAATAAAATGTTAATTTAGATATGCCAGTTGAATGGAAAATAGAATATATCAGAATACATCTTAAACATTTTAGTTTTTATACTTTCTGTTTGAAATAGATATCATTAATATATATATAAATTATAATTAAAATCTTAATCTATATCTAAAAATTTACTATCTAAAAATCAAATCTAAGACTAACTTTGTAATAACAGAGTAATAATCTTGTTTAGATAATTAGCAATAAAAATCTCTTCACTTAATAATTATTCTCATAGTACAATCTTAAAATAATTATAATAAATTAAATAAGTTTAGTAAATAAATTCATTAGGATACAATGAACAATCATAAATGTATATATTAATCTTTTTATTTTTAAAGAAGAAGAGTAAATTCAAGTACTAAATATAAAAAACAAATTTGAATAAAGGTAATGATTATAAATATTGATTAATGAAGTATGTTAGGTTGAATAATTCATCTATTTCTCCAACAGAGATTGGATTGTTCAGATAATGTAAAAGATTCTAACCCAAAGTAAGCTCACTTTAACCAAATGAAGAGGATGCAATGATGTATTCTAAGCTTTGAAAATTTGAATTAATTAGAGATAAAGCATTAAAGTATTGTTTTGCTTGCCATTGTAAAATTTATTCTTCACAAAGTAAACATGGACTTCAAAATTTCTAAACTTCTCTGGATAAATAGAGGATTATTTGAGGTTGGCAAATAGTTGGAAAATGAATGAGAGAAGTCCTGAGAAATTTTAAAGGGCTAAAGGAGATGATGGATTGATACATTTCAGTAACTAAGATGAATAAAAAAATATTTGAAAGGCCGAATAGTTTTATTAGGTTTGAGCAATTCCAGTAAATGATTTATGCTTCCATAATTTTAAATGGGAAAAGGAAAAAAGACCATTATTTTGAATTAGCAGATTATTATGAAAATTAAAACCTTTACCTAGTACCTTAATAACTGATATAGAATCATTTGATGAAATAATCCAAAAATAATTAAGAGAACAATTTAAAATAGAGCCTACAGTTTAGAGATAAGATATAAAAAGAACAGATAAAGAGAAAGGATTAAAAAGTAAAAAGAAAAGGCATTATATGAATTGATTGAATAGTTGTTCAATTGAAATTATATTATTGAGTAGCGATAAGTTTTGATCCAAAAACTGATAATAATAGATAAAACTAAGTGCTTTCAACTTCAAAAAATATGCAACAATTAAAATCTTCTATAGACTAAATATTACCAAATGGAGATTAAAGAATAAATAAATAATTTTAATAAATACTAGATTAATTAGTCTGAAAAGTTGTTGATAGGATAAATTGTAAATTTGATGAAACTTTATATGATAAAGATTTGAAATATATATGATTATTAATTCTAATTATATTATTATCATATTATTATGAGAGAAACTGCATTTAGTTCATCTCCATTTGAAAAACCAAATAAATTAACTAGTGGTTTATTTAGAGATTGTTAAAGATTTATTCCTAGACGTAAGTTTACTGAAGAAAATCAAGAAAATGCAACTGTATTTGCAAAATTAAGGAGAGCTGGTTTTGAAAAGAAAAAAGCACTTAAATATTGTTAAGCTTAACATTGCAAATTAGATGCTACATAAAATGATTTTGGACCACCTGGTTACAAAATATTCAAATAAAATTATGATCCAATAAAATAATATAAAGGATGGTAATTAGATGGGAAAATAAAATTAAAAGATTAATGTGAATATGAAAGAATAAGTAAAGATATTAATTTAGGCTTGAGATAACAACCCAATGAAGATTTGTATTAATTGTATAATAGACTAGCTGAGACTCATAGAAATACAGAAGAAAAATGCAATTTCACTGATCTTTCAAGATAAGAGTTAATTATGAAATTAAGATCATTAACAAGAGATGACAACAGAAAATATAATACACCAATATATTAATTAAGAAGACATAATGAAATTTATTATGAATTAGCAGATTATTTTGAAAAATAATAGCCTCCTTAAATTAAATCTTTAGTTACAGAATTAGAAGCTTTTGATGATATTGTTCCTAGAAAATAATTAAAGTAATTTTATTTGGAATAAAAATCTACTGGAAATAAAAAAAAGAACTTAAATCAAGAAGTTAGTGAAAAAATGTAAAGACGTTCAAGAATTCTAATGGAGTTGACAGCCTTATTCTCTCCTGTAAAATCTGATAGTTTGGTATCAAATTATATAAATAATATAAGAATAGAAGATCTTTCTTTACAAGATAGGATTAAATGTGGTAAGTTTAGAATGATTCAGCTATAACAAGTCTATTAGATATGGATGAAAGTAATGTAGGTAGAAATGCTGAAAGAAATAGTATTTTCTTTTATCGCTTTGCCAAAGTTAAATAATCAGAGGAATAAGAAAGAATTAATCAATTTTAAGACTCATTAAAAAAAGTAATTAAAAAAAATATTGAAAACATAAATTACTCCAAAAAAAAAAATTAATTCTTCGATTGACTTTTATAAATATCATTTTTATATTCTAATTAAATTTCAATCATATGTATTTTTATCATTACTTTCTAAATTAAAATTTATATATAATCAAATATTATTATTAATGAATAAATATAGGGTAAGTACTCATCCTTTAATAAATTAATTTTAATGGAAAATATCAAAAAGGCTTGAATAAAATATAGACTTATCCAAATATTCAACTTAATTTTGTACATTATTGAGATGTAATAATGAAGAGTTAGATTTCAAAATTCCCTAAATTATTGGAATTATCAAATTGGGCTAAATATCTCGTCTAGCATTTTTGGAATTTAAACTTCTTATTTAATAGTCCCTAATTGAAGCTTAAATTAATGGATAGTTTTAAAATGATCTTGATTTCGTTCGAGATATCATTATATTTATTGAATTGAATTATTTGTAATCTGAAGATGAGAAATTCTTGCCAGACTCTATGCCATCTTCACTTTCTCCTTTAAAAGCAAAATTAATGACAACTAAAACCTCAATGCGAAAGGATGGTTGGAAAAAGATTAACATATGATCTCTCTTATATATATATTTTATATTCTATATTTAAACAATAATTCTATAAATTAAGAGTTAGAATTCAGAATTAGAATGCAAAAAGTTATTAATTAAATAAATGGGAGGAGCCTAATCTAATAGTTAAAGATCATTACTTAGTTGTTTAAAATTTCTAATAGAGGACATAGAACTATAAGCAGATGTGAAATTACTGAACTATTTAAGATAAATTTTCATAAAGTTTCCATTTAACTTTGAAAAAAACAGGTAATTATATTTACAATAATTTATAGAAAGAAAGTGATAAATATTCTTAGTAAATCTATTCCATTATAAATTACGTAATTTGAAGACGTTTTACTCAATTACTTAAGTTCAAGTTTTTAATGTTAATTAATTGCTAAAAAATCTTATAATAAATATAATTAAATAGAAATTTAGAAAATAGATTCAGAATTTGTCAGGAATTTTAGATTAATGAATTTTGATAATTTGAAATCAAATTATGAAGGTGAATATGAAAATTCATTAATATTGCTATTTTAAGGACTTAAAAGTTATTGCAATTTAGCAAATTAAATTATCAAAGAACTCAAAAATAATATTTTAGTTTAAAGTTAGGTTTATGCATTGATTTGGGAACACTTTTAAAATCATTTGATTAAATTTTCTAAGGATCCATATTATGATTTAAATCCAATCAATAAATATTTTGATGAAAAATTCTATAAATTATCTCCAGAATTAAAAATTGAAATAATTGGAGGTAAATTATGGGGATGCATGGTTTAATAATTAGATATTAACTTTATACTTGATGAATTTAAAATTGCAAGAAGATCTAATAATTAATCAGATATTTAATTTCATAAATTATTTAATGCAATAATTGATATAAATATTGATGTTGCTAATTTATAATGGATTGGTAAAAGTGACTTTTAATTTTCAGATTAACTTAAAGATATTATTTAATTTATTCAAAAAGATTCATAGGATTTAATGAATAATCTATATTTTGAATCAAAAGGTAATTTGTTAGTGTTTATTGAAAAATGGGAAAAAGATAACAATTTTCTTAAATCTTCAATACCATTGTGGATTTGTGAAAATTATTTTGATTGTTTATTTTTTGAATATTGTGAAGAAAAAATAAAAGAAAATTTTAAATTGCTTTCATAAGTAGAATAAAACAAACTTATTGAATAATACTAAAATTAAGAATCTAAATAAAATGCAATGTGTATTGAGTAAGATTTTTAATACTAGTTTAATTCAAAATTGTTTTAATTTGATGATTTCTTATAATAAAACTCAGAATAAATCTTACTTAAAATGATAAAATTATTGAAAGAATAAGAATAATTAAGTAGTATAATGTTAATAAGTGAAAGTACATAATAAGGAGGAAGTGCTGCAATAAATTATCAAGATATTTCTAATTCTTTATTTGAAGAAAGTTAAAAATAAGAATAAATAAATTAAAAAGTTTAGAGTATTATTTCATTTTAACCTCCACTATCAAATATTCTGATAGAATAAGAGGATGAAATATTAAGAATATGCAAAAAATATGATTATATCAAGAATATTATTTTATCAAGCATTTAATAAAGAGATAATAATATAATGTTTAGAAACAGAGGATTAAATTCTATTTCAAAAGAATTACTTGACTTTTTCAGTTTCAATAAACCAATAAATGAAAATTATACTATAGAAATCATCAATTATCTAGCTAAATTAAAATTAAAAGAAAAATCATTCGAAAGTAGTGCAGTAAATAGCAATTTAGAATTTTTTAAAGGATCCATGGCAGCAGATTTACTGTCTTTCGACAAATGAAAATATAATTTGTTTATAATACTTTTTAACAATAATTTCTATGTATTTTATGTAAAAAGAATTATAAATATATTTAAATAATATATTTTATCTTATAAAATTATTGTTACCATATATTCTTTCATAAACTTTATTTAATTAAACAATTCTCTGATATTAAAGAAAAATATTAATTTTATTATTAAAGAATTAAAATGAAACAGAACTAATAAATCTAATAAAAACAAAAGATAAGTCAGACTTTAATGAATTAGTATCTAAAAGAGAAAACAGAACTTGAAAATTCTATAAATTAGGTTTAAAAAATTATGAATGCTAAATTTGAATAAAAATTAAATCCCAAAAGCATTCTTACATCATATTTATAAACTTTATCCCATATAAATGAGTATAGATATATGGGAGTAACAGTAAATATAGAAGAAGACATAAAGTTATTTTTATAAAGCCTTCCATCATATACTTTTTTCCCTTAAAAAATTTGGGATTTTTCTTTTACAAGTAAAATAAAGTATTAAATTAGAATAATTTCAATAAAAATTGTTATCTCTAAAAGATGATGAATTTATTAAAGTAGTTGTTATAATTAAGATCTTAATTTAAGGAAAATTTAATTAATATTAATTGGTTAACGTAAATCAGATATAAGTTGGTAGTATAAAATTTCCATTTTAATATGATTTTTAATTATAGTTGGCTGTTGATGGTAGGACTACTATGTTTTTTTAAGTTTTTCCTAAAAAATATCCTGTTATGAATGATTCAGAACATCCAATTTAATTTGATTATGTACACGAATTGATATTTGTTGAGTTGAATGAGGGTACATACTATAAAAATCCATAACCATATGAAAAATATCTTAAAACTCAATAAAGTATACCAAATTTTTTTACAGATATGAAATATATTCAAGAATTTAGTGATAAAAAAAAAGTAAAATATTTAAGAGTTGGAGAAATCAATGAAAATTAATTTTTATTGATTGGACCTCGAATCTTTAAACCATTATTATGTTAAGGGAATTAATTTGTATATAATTATAAACTAAATTTATGGATGACAATAGAAGACGAAGAAAAATATTATAAAAAATTAAAATAGATATAAGAAATAAGATAAAATAATTAGATAATAAAAAAATATTGTTATTTACCATCTTCATAATAATTATTAACAATAATAAAAAATATTCCTAATTTTAGAGTAAAACTAACTTAAGAATAATAAAATATTATTTCATATGGAGGAGATGCTTTGGTAATTGGTAGAAGTGGAACAGGTAAAACTACATGTGCACTTTTAAAATTATTTTCAACTGATATATTATATAAATTGAGAATCAAATTAAATTAAATTAAATATTCATCAAATGATATCAATTTATCATAATAAGATTAAAATTCATAATTAAAAACAATATTTGTAACTGCTAGTCCATTATTGGCTTGTCAAGTTAAAAGATTATATGATTAATTAGTCAATAATATCTAAAATGCTATTAATACTAAAAGATAAAGAGTAAAATAAGAGTAATAAGAGAATATTTAAACTTAAAATATTGATTTAGAATAGAGTACTTTTTAAATAATAGAAGCATTATAATAAAATGATAAAGATAATGATGATAATAATAATAATTAATAAGAATTTTAGAATGATAATGAAATAGAAGATGAAGATATTAATGAATTTGAAAAAGAAATGGGAAAATTTAACAAATTTAGTGAAATATAATAATTTCCTGTTTTCTTAACTTTGCGTAAATTATTGGCACTTATTGATTCTTCACTTATCCATTCATTTTTTAAAGTATATGGAGGATATTAAAATAAATTATCATAATGGCATAATGAATCATCTGGTCTTATGACACTAGATAAAAATTAAATTGCTTAACCATTTAATGAAGAATTACTTCATAAACATATTAGTTTAATTGACAATTAAGAATTTATAGAAACAAATTTGTAAGAAGTTACATTGGAGATTTTTGAGAGAGTATTTTGGCCTAAAATTGTTAAAGAATTGAAATAAGAATATTATGATGTTTCAACTTTTGATCCAACTTTGGTTTGGAGTGAAATTTGCACAAAAATTAAAGGTCATGAAACTTCACATGAATATCCTGATAAATATATGAATTTTGAGAATTATATTTATTATCATAGAATTTTATCAGAAGTATAAACAAAATTACTATATAAAGCCTTTGAAACTTATGAAAGATTAAAATAAAGTTATGGATATTATGATTTATTAGATATTGTAAATCATATTAACTATGAATTATCTTAAGGAAATGATATGATTGAATGTGTACATTATTTAATGTTAGATGAACTTTAAGATGTTCCAAGAGCTGTTCTAGTATTATTAGATAGAATGGCAGAATTTGGTTTATTTTGTTGTGGAGACAATGCTTAGAATATAGCAAAAGGAATAGGATTTAAATTTTTTGAAGTTTAAAATTGTATCTTAAATTATAGAGGTAATTAAAGAAGAAGATAATCAAATATGACATTATTTGATTTAAATATTAATTTTAGATCACACAATTAAATTCTATAATTAGCCAATTCTGTTATAAGAGTCTTAGAGATTTGTTTTCCATATAAAATTGATAGATTAAAAAAGGAAACATCTGATTTAACTGGACCAAAACCTGTTATATTATAAACAGAGGATCCTTAAGATTTATTGTCTTATATTTAAGAATTTTTTACTAATGATAGAAAAACAGTTGAATTTGGATGCAATTAAGCTATAATAGTAAAAGATCAAGAATCAAAGGAAAAATTACCTTAAGAACTTTAAAATGCCTTAGTTCTTACAATATATGAAGCAAAGGGTTTAGAATTTGATGATGTAATTTTATATAATTTCTTTAATGATTGTCCTACTTCTGTAGATGATTGGAAAATTTTAAATGAATTTGAGATTTAATCAGTATATATGTCTGAAGAAGGATATAAAAATTACTTAACAGGTATATTATATTGTATATTTTATAGTTCATTAATCTGAAGTAGTAACAACAGATTACAATGATTAGAAAAAATTAGTAGAGATTAAATAATTAAAATTGAAAGAAAGAATTGACTTAAAAAAATAAAAACCAAACTTAGATGCCTTTTAAGAATATATGTCATTGTGTTAAGACTTAAAATAATTGTATGTAGCTATAACTAGACCAAAGAAAAGATTAATAATATTTGATCAATCAAATAAAAAAAGATTTATAATTTAATCTATTTGGGAGAAATTAGATGTCGTTAATATTGTTTAGAAAAAGAATATTTAGGTTTCTGACACATAATTTCTCCTTGAACATACTATAGATAATTAAGCTAATTGGAAAAAATAAGGATATAAAATGTTTAGACTCAATAATTATGATTAAGCAGCTAAATGTTTTAAATTTTCTGGTGATGAAGAACTAGCGATTAAATCTAGAGCTTATTTTTTAGCTACTTAAGCTAATATTTTTAATGAGAATAAAACTAATTATATTGCAGCAGCAAAATTATTTGAACAGATTAATTTTCCTTTAAGAGCAGCTCAATGTTATTTTTCAGGTAAAGAATATGCTAAAGCTTATGAATAATATAAATTGACTAATTGTAAAAGTGAAACTGCTGAATCTGCATATTTTGCTGGTTATTTTGAAGAGGCTGCAGATCTATTTTATTAAATTAATGATATTAGAAGAGCACTTGATTGTTTTAAAAAAGCTAATAATTGGTAGAGAATTATTGAATTATTAAATTTACATAAAGATGAATTTACAATTGATGAAAGAATGGCTTTTTTGAATAAATTTTTTCCTAGTTTTCTTTAAGAAATGACAGATTAGATTGAGCAATAGGAAAAAGAAATGGAAGAATAGAATTTAATTGAAGAGACTAGTATAATTTAAGAAGATATTAATGATTAATCTTAAAGTTTTTAAATATAGAATTCTTTGATAAATGAATCACAATAAGTTTAAGAAGAGAATGCTGATAATAATATTGAAACATCTTAAATTAGTATATTAAAATAGAACAAATAAGATATTATTGAAATTGATGACTCAGAATCCTTTTAAGTTTAAAATGAAGAATCTTTTGATCATCTTTCAATTTTTGATCCAGAAGATGAATGGTTAAAAAATAATTAAAAATCTTTAATCAAATCTATTGCTACCTCTAGTGTTGAATCACAATTTTCAAATGTTTTATTGTTAAATTAACCATCTAATGTTTCACTCTTAAAATCAAGATCTAATATCTTTATTAAGAATAATGTTTTACAATAATTAGTTTAAAAATTTTAATTTTTTTCTGATGAGTTTAAGATTCACATTGAAAAATAGACACACAAAGCTACTTTATTATCAAATAGAACTGGAGAGGAGAAAGAATTTGATCATATGATCAATTTCTTATATGATTTAGATAATATAGATATTGATACTATATATTTAATTCTAGATCTATTAGAATAATTTAAAAGTTATAAATTATGCATTTATGTTTGCAATTAATTCAAATTAGCTTAACATATAGGTAGATATTTAGTTTCATTGGCTTCCCTTTACACTCCATTAACAAGGAATCCTTTAAAAGATAATTATTAGATTATTGCAAATAAACTATATAGAAAATAAATATTATAATAAGCAGCAGTTTCATAATTAGCTATTAATAATATATTGGAATCTATTAATCCTAAATTCTTGTAATTCAAACATGAAGAATAACTTAATTCATCAAATAGTTTTGGTATTACATGTTATAAAGAATTAATTGGTTTAGGGTATTGGAAGACTGTTATATATTAATTAAATTATGATCATGCATACAATTTATGTAGATCATTTAATAGTTATTAAGATATATTTAATATTATAGAGAAAGTCAAAGAAAATAGAAAAAATAAAATACTTAATAAATAGGAAGAATTTAATTTAAATAAATATTAATATTTTTATGCTATTTAAGAAGCTCTTTAATTAAATAATTCAAATTTCAACTCAATATTTTCTACTACCATTAACTATTTCAATAATAAATAACAAGTAAACCAAGAAATTATAAAAGATATCATAATTAATAGTCAACTAAAAAATACTTCAAATCTTAATTATACTTAATAATTAAATTAAATTGAATCAATAATTTTATCTCATTTAATCTTAAAAAGAAATAATACATCTTAAGAAAAATAAAAACTAGTAGACATAACTTAACTTGTTGAAATTCAAATTTACTTTTTAAATAAAATGTAATTATTTTGTAAAAATTCAAATATAATTGATTCATTTGGATTTCTATATTAATTTTCATTACCTAAAGGAGAAATTATGGATCATTATTCTTAATATGCCCTTGTATATTTGACTTCTGACTTAGTATCATATTTACACTCCTCATCAAAAGAAATTTAAAAGGATCCCTCTTAAATCACTTAATAAGAGTTAAAATTTATTGATATAGGATTTGAATATATTTTAATTCCTTATAACTTGATTCTAAAGACTATCCATAAATCCTTTATTTAGAATCTCTCTAATCAATTCTACAAAATGTCAGAATAACTTAAAAGTTTTTACTTGACATATGGTAATTAATAATAGTAATTCCCTTAAAATTTATACAGAGATTCTTATTTACCAATCTTTTAACAATTGTATTACTTAGAATTAAGATAAAAAAATATATTACCAATAATTTTTCTTCCTAAATAAATAAATTTTCAAAAATTCAAAAATTTCAATGATGCATCAATTAAAAATTTAGAAATCGACAGACATTCATCATCAATTCTAAATTAAATAAAATCTCTACATTAATTAGACTTTTTTAAGATATTAATTAAGACTAATATTAGAAATCCAAATATACCATCTTCAATTAAATAATTCTTTATCAATGAAAGTATTTCCCTCCTTCAAAAGTCTCAAGATTAATTAAGTCACTAGAAAATAGTATTAGCAATAAATATATTAAATTATATCAATGAACTACCTTTGGCTATATTTACACTTTAATAAATGAAAAAACCAATCTAAACTAACCCTTATATAAAATATATGGAATTTCTAGAATGCTAAGAATATAATATCACAGAAGATCTTTTTGTTTGCTTTGCAGAATTTAGTGTTGATCTTTAGAATAAATTATTTTTAGATGAATGGCTATATCACTTAATTAGGGTAGGATTATCAATTCTAATTTCAATTCTTGAAGAAAAGAAATAAAAAATTTATATTCCTTAAATATTTGTTGAATTTGTAAAAGGAATTTAAGGTCATCAAATTGAATCTCCTATATTTAAAATTTAAAATGATGAGATTCTTTTAGAATATTTAGAACTTTTAGGATAATTCCTTGATAATTGTAATTCTGAACATTATGAATATTATGGTAATATATTACTTATTATTTTCGTTATCAATTTACCTATATTAACAAATGAAATCAAAGAATAAATATCTAAAATAATAGAATTTGATTCTAAATATAAATTTTATCAAAGACTTAAAGTAATTATATTAAAAGATCTACAAGTTAGATAAAATGAATATATAAAACAATAAAAATCAATATACATTAATCAATACTTAGACTTATAAATCACTCATCTATAAATAATCAATACAAAATAATAAAATTAACTTGAATAAATTTATAATACTTGTTTATAAAATTGGGAAAATTATTAAAAGAAATCTGAATAAATAAAAAGTAATGGATAAAATTTAATTAAAAAATGGTTAATACATAAATAATTTATAGCTAAATCAAAATATTTAAGTAAAGCTCTACCTAAATTTTAATTATAAAATTAAATTGTAAAATTTTAATAATTTTATTAATTGAATCTTAAAGAATTTTACAAAAATTTGAATAACAAAGATATTAAATTAGAAAATAATATTAAAGACGCATTTGCTATTTAAGAGTAAGATTTAATTATATTTTAGGGATATCTTAAACCAAAGACATGGAGCTGTTGATTCTATAGATCTACATTTTTGTAATTTATTATTAGAAAAACTTTCTGAATTGAATATTTAAATTTTAAAAGGGAATAATGTAAGCTAATAATTAATTGAATTATCAAAAGAATTAGTTGCTTGGAAAGAGAATATTAATTCAGCATAAGATAAATAAGATGAATTATTAGCTAGAAATAAAGAATTATTAGCAATAAAATGGAGAAATTTAAAATCAGGTATAAAATTAAAAAAGAGAGTTTTAAAAAAGGTAGAAATGCAAACAATTTAAGAAGAGGAAGAAGAATAATAATGAATTTATTTAAATTTTAAATAAAAATAATATAATATCTATAATTTATTATAGAAGAATATGGATAAATTAATAATAATAACAAATAATTAATAGTGTGATTTTCTGCTATGATAATGTGATCTAATGATAATTCATTTTGTTTTTAAGATTCATTACTTCACTTTTTTATTGTCTTCATTATTAGATAAAGTCTTATATAAATATTTTAATGCAAAAATAGAAAAGGCCTATTTATAAATTTATTAATACTGTTCCTCCAATAGCTAATAATATTCCTATAAATTTTAAAAAGTATTAATCTGCTTCAAAATATTCAATAATTTATTCTTTACTAACACCAAAATATTTAGGAGCTGTTATTATAAAAGTATTTTAGACTTTATCCCAAATAACATTTCCATAAACACAAATAAAAGTTCCTTCACATAAAATTTCTTCTTCTATTACAACTCCAATTTTTGAAATAGTAGTTAAAAATTTCTATATGTTTCCCTATTTAAACTCTGCTTTCTCTGCATCTCTAATAATATTATATGTCTTACGTTTAAGGCTCTCTCATTATAGTTTTAACTTCAGGGGGATTTATAATCTGATCTGTTTTTTAATGCTTTAAAACTTTTGGTAAAATAATAGTGTTAGAAAAATTGTTTATCATAAGGTTTTCAGTTGTTTATGATTTTAAAGTAAAGGAATCTGTTGTATTTGTTGTTCTACTAGTTTATTTTCTTTATTAAGTTTTTCTTCCATTGTTTTCTACAGCTTCTATTTCATAATTAGATCTTTTTATATAAACACCTGCATATTTGCTATTTACACTTTTTAACATCTCTGTATTTTAGACAACCTCACCTTCAACAAACAAACTTAATTAATTATCATCTGTTAATAAAAATGAATTCCTTTAAAAATTAAATGTTATACTTAAGTTGAGAAACAGTAACACTCTTCTACTTTTTAAGAGTATCTAATTCATTTTAATTTTTGATTTTTTCCTTATTTAATTTATATATAAGTCCAATAATAGTTCCACTTAAAGCACATAGAAGAAATTTAGTGAAATCTTTCATTTTATATAAAATTAAAATATAAATTAATATAATAATAATTATTTTGTATCATAAGTCTCAATTATATTGATTTAATTGGACTACTTGATTACATTGATTGACAAATCGATAAACAATTTTACCATTTTGGTTTAATAATTGTTTTTTATTCAATTCATATAATGATTATTAATACTCTTCTAAAATGTAATTAAAGATCAAAATATGTGAATAATATTTTTACATTACATAATTTGCATATTCATTATTTAATAATAACTTTAGATTTCTAAAATAAATAATAATTATACTATTTAATGACTAAATTCCATAAATTCTAAAGTTAATAAGCAAGTGATTTATTAACCATAATTTCACATACATTGCTTCCAAATTTATTACATGATAATTCAATAAAATTTGGAATCAAATATTCATTAATTAATAATTTATTTTACTCAATTGTTCTTTCTTTGAGCATTTTCTAAATTATATAATTTGAAAATTATGATTTTGATAATTATATGCTTTCTTAAATAAGTTTATTTATAATTGAATCCACATGATTTGATTTTGTATAAGTAACCATATTAATCAAAATTACACAACCATATTGATGATATTTAATTTTGTCAATTTACAATTTGTTTATTATTTATGCAAATTATTCATCATTCTAAATAGTATCTAAAAGTGTATTAATGATGAGATTTCCATATTAATCAAATTGTAATTTCTTTAAATTATCAATTATGAATTATATGATCTGATTATTTTGATATTAAATTAAACATGACTATACTATTTTGTAGGCATATTTTCTATAACACAAGAATTCCATATTTTCTACAACTAATCTTAAAATATAACTTTTGTGTTCACTTAATCCTTTTTCTAAAATACATTAGATGATATAATGATTATAAATATCAAAGGAAAAACCTATAATGTTCTGTTTAATAATATTATCAAAGATATTATTTTTCATTTCTATTTCTCCTTTTTCATATGCATCTTGAATGCTTTTTGACATTTATTAGGGTCTAATATAAATATATGTAATTTACAATTAAATATCTGTAAGTATTCTTAATGAATGGTCAACATTTTTAAACATCTATTTACGATCAATTCTTTCTTCTTAACATTATTGTTATCTTTAATTGTTAACCATTTTATTGTTCATAAAAATTATAGGTTTAGAAATAAATATTAAAAATAATAATGCAACTTTCTTTAAATTCTTTAGAATTTATACAATTTAAAATATATGATCATTATTCATTTCTTACTTAAAGGTACTTTTATTGATAATTTATTTGGATAAGTCATTAACTTTACCTTTCCAATTAAAAACTCTCTTATTAAATCATTAATTTATAAGATATTGGCAATATTATATTTCTACAAAATAATTGTTTCAATATCTAAATTTATTACAGGATAGCCTATCATAGAAAGCCTTTGATTTTATATTATAAATGATATTACCAACTCTTTCCAAGATATGTAGGAACAAAACATAATCTAATTCTACTTGTAAAAGTAGAGATTGTAATTTTGATTTCAATAGGCACTTAATATTCTTTTGGCCAATTAAGAATAAGATTTGTATTTAAAACAATTTAGATTTTACCTCGAAAAGATAAATCTAAGTCACAAAGAAACTAAAATCTATTAATTAAAATACTTCATTAACATCTTATCTTAATACTTATATATTAGATAAAGATGGAGCATCTCCAACAATCTTTAAATCAGACACAGCAATCTCTGATAACATTGTTGTTCTCTTTTTATTAAAAGACTTATTCAATGTTTTTTTTATTTTCAATTTAAAATATTCGCTTTCCTTCCAATCATTTACTAATACTTTTAATAGTTTTTAAATTAATAATGATGTAGTACTTACATTAAGATCTTCAATCATTTCTTCATTTTGACTAATAGTTACTTCTTTCTCATTATGAATTACTTACTCTTCATTTTCACTTTTTAAGTTTTCTCTTTATTATATGATCTAAATATTTTCAGTTGCTAAGTTAAATTATATATTTTACTTTCATCAACTATCATTCTTAAATTAGTAAATATTGAAATAGCAAATCTTCCCAAATCTTCAATTAATGTTTTTTTCATTTTTGCTATTTATTTATTGTGTTTTTTGAGAATATCTTCCATTTTTTTTAAAGTATATCCTTATAATGAAATTAATGCTTTTTTATCTTCAATTAATTATATTTACTATTCTTTTAGATCATCTTCTTTCAAATTACTCATCTTTTAAACTTTAGTTACACTTTAACCAATAGTTGCATAAAATTTACCAAAATTTAAGGATTTTACATTTGACATATTTTATTTCATTTCATTAAAAAAATGTTCTGCTGCCTTCTTTGTTTTTGATTTATCTACTTAATCATTTTAATATTATTCAAGTGCTTTTTCATCAGAACTAAGACTTTATAATTTTTTTAAATCTCTTAATGCAAATACTTCAAGTTCCTTACAAATAGACATATCTAATCTACATTTAGCAATATCCTATCTTTTTCTTTCAATCTAATCAACTAATTATTTATTTGAATCTTTAATTATTTAAATAACACTTAATAAACTTGAAAAAAGAACATTGAAAATATCAACAATTTCTTATTTTTCTAATTCTACTTGCAATTTTACAAATGTAAAATCTTTATCTACTGATTTTTGATTAAATATTTAGATAATGTCTCTAAAAAAATATTCTAATTCTTCATTATATTTTTAAACTATTTACCATTATTAAAGTAAATAAGTAGTTTATCTTTAACATTCTTTTATTTATTCATTTATATCAAGTTCAACATTTTAATTTTATTATTAATTTTACAATATTTACTTTTAAGGTGAAAATGGATTTCTATTCTATTTCTAAGGATATATTTAATCTAATATATAAATTATATATAATTACAATAATCTTCATCAACAATTACTATTAAGGAAGAGATCTAAGTTTAAAATTAACTAGCATAATTCTCAGATGTTATTAAAAATGCTTGAAAACCTTGTTTTACAAATACAACCCTTTATTCTTCATAATTAAGTTAGAATTAATGCATTTTTTAATTAAATTCATTTATTTCTATTTAATTTTCTTTGATTCTATCTCTAGCATCTGTTAATTTCAATCTAATATTATCTGATTATTGCATTTGCAATTTGACTTTCATTTCACTTTTAATGATTTGAGTTGGATCATCTTTTCTTTTAAGCATTTCTTAATGAGACAAAGTAAAAGTTTATAGATCTTTTTCTATTTAATTAAATTCATTTAATATCTTTTAATAATGTTGATAGCATTCAACAGTTTAATGTTTTAATTTCCTTCTTTATTTTTTAATATCTTCTACTTCTTTTATGTATGCTTTTCTTAGCTATACTAATTAAATACTCACTTTGCTTATATCTTAGGCAACTTCAAAATGACATTGACTAATTTATTTTAATACTTTTTTAAAGTCTTTCCAATAAGGTAAATACAAGAATAATTTAGAGTTCAATTAAACTCCAGTTAATTATTATATAATTTCATTTGCATCCTCAGAATATTTATCTATACTAGTAATTTCATTTTCTGAAAGTAATTTACTATCTAAATCATTTAATTATTAACCGAATTATTGTTCAGATTCCTATAATTGTATATAATTATCACCTTTATCCCTTCTAAAAATTCTACATAGGTTTCAAGTTTTTTTAAGAATTTTTTTCTGTATAATTTTTACACCGAAAATTGTTATATTAATTAGGTATCCTCTTATTTGGGTTGTGGATTTTCAATTTATAATTCTGTATTGAATTTATTTATATAATGTTTTCTCTTTTATTTAACTGGGTGTAGATATTCTTCTAAGTTTTATTTATCTTTTAATTGACATAAATTTATACAGTTTGTGATTATAATCTAATAATTCTAATGTTGTTTTTTAAGATAATTCATTATGTATTTATATTGAATACAAAGTATTGTAAAACATCCTATTATAAATCCAATAAAAAAGGAATTATTGTACCATTAAAGAAATGAAGCAATAATTATTCCAAAAAGTATTTTATTTGTTAATTACATAATTTAATAATGGAAGAAAAAATTGAATAACAAAAATAATTAATAATTAAAGCTAAATTAACAATTGATAAATTAAGAGTAGAATTAGCTGAGAAAAATCAATTATTATAGGAAGAAAAATAAAAGAATGAAAATCTAGAATAAATAGTAAATAAATATTTAGAAGATGAAAAGAAAATTGTATGTGAAAGGGTTTTAGCTAAAGTAAAAGTAGAAGAAATTGAATGGATATGTATAAAAAATAATGGAATTGAATGGGTAAGAGAAAGTGAATTTAATAAGTAGCTAAATTCATAATTACATGAAGATATTAAATTATTAGATTATTCTAAATCTAAAGATGATATTTTAGTTGTTGCATAATAATATGATTAGAGTATGAAAATATTGTAATAAGAATATTTTTAAAGTGAAAAGAAAAAATAAGAAATTCTTAATTTATACAATGATTTATAAAACGAATTTGATAAATATAAATAGGATATCATATAAAATATTAATGAAGTTGTTAATTAATCAGAATAAATTAGAGAAACTACATTAACATTTATTGATTAAAGTGCAGATTGTGAAGCAAAAATTAAATTACTGTTTTTATAATTATTAAAAGTAAATTAATATATAAAACTAAGACTTGTAGTCCATAATTACACTTTCTTAAATAACATTTAATAACTTTGAATTAAACAATTTATGAATTGATCTAATAATAATAGGAATAAAGTAATTTGATTGAATAATAAACAAAAGAACATAAATAAAGACTAATTGAAATTGAAGAAGAAAGAAAAATGGAAAGAGAACAAAGTATATTTTATATAATTAAAAACAGAAATCTAACATTTTGAAAATGGTAGATAGTAAATCTAATTATTAGAAAATACAATTGATTAAATTACTAAAGAATTAAGAGAAAAGAATATCAAAATTGATAGATTATGTTAAGAGAATTTAAAAAATGCAAATATTTAATATATTAAAAATGTAATTATACGATTTTTTACAGAAGAATATTCAGTAATTATATCAATTAATCATAAGGTAAAATAAAAAACAATACCTGTGATTGCAACTGTATTATAATTTACAGAAGCAGAATATGCTATTGTTCAATAAGCATGGGAAAGAGATTCGAAGTCTTTTTTGAGTAGAATTTTCAAATGAAAATAGTAATTAATTTTATTATCTATTTGTCTTATTATTATTATTATGAACAATAACATTAATTTCAGAAGAAATATTTTACATATGAATTTTTTAATTTTAGAGAAGTTAATTCAAATAGTCTCTGAAAATTATCGCTCTTTTCTTTCTCATTTGCCATAAATCCTTTATAAGTTGTTTATTATAATTTTTTAGCATCTTTTAATTATTCTAATTCTTTTTATATCCATTCTTATAATTTAAGATTAGACAGTTCTGTAATTCGAGGTTTTTGAATTTATTTTGGCTCATCCAATAATTATGGTAGAGGGATTTAAGGTTCTTAATCAATACTTTTACTTTTGTATTTTCTTATAGGTATTCGAGCAGTAGGTTATTTACTCATGTCTACAACAGATTTATTTACTAGAGAACTTTGATTAAGTTTATAATAGCCTATTGGAGGATGTTCTACTTTAATAAGTTAATAAGGAATTAATCTTTTGGTTTTACTTCTATCATTAGATTTGATTTATTGTTTAGGATTAAGTACGAAAAATTTCTAGAGTTTCTATTCTTTTCTCATTAATCTAGGCAATTTTTAATGACTATTTTTCTTGACTTCTGGCAAATCAACAGGTACATTAACAAGGATGCCTTTTTCAAAATCATATTGAGATGATATTCCTAATGCTTAATTTACATTATGATTGATATTTGATAAGCTGGATTAACGAGACAATTTGCCTTTCATTAATTATTAGATTTTTATTATGTATAATAAAATTAACTATAATTAATGTTTATTTATGAATTTAATAGTGATATATCTGATATATATTTAGAAGTTTTAGAATTTAGATTATAAATATGTATCTGATAATTTATATTATTATCTAAATAATTAATAATTCTATGAATTTGTGTGTTTTTGAATTGAATTTAATAAATAAAAAGAATGTTTATTAATAATTTAAATCTTATTATTATATGGGTGAGATTGTGTCAAATTAATTGTTTGTAGCTGGTTATAGTCGTGCAAAAATAACTGATGAAAAGGATATCAAGAATATCTTCAAAAAATATGGTACTATAAAAAATGTTGCTTACAAGGGTTCCTATGCCTTTGTTGTATGAAATCTTATTCTATTTAAATAGACCTTTTCATCAGAATCTGAAGCTGAAAATGCTCTTAAAGCACTTAATGGATAATAGATTAATGGATAGAAACTCAAAGTTAATATTGTAGATAATCGAAAAGGACGTAGAAATGGACCTTAAGAAAATGATGAATGTTTTAGATGTAAGAAAGGAGGACATTGGTAAAACTGATTATTTTATAGATTAAGGGCTAGAGAGTGTCCAAATGAATCATCGCCAAAAAGAAGGAATTATGATAATTAAAGATCACGGTATTTTTTTGATTTTATTGATTGTACAGATATAGAAAAACAAGAAGATCAAACTCAAGATCCCATTCATAATCTTCATATTAATCTTCTCACTCTAGGGGAAAAAGAGACTCTAAAAAAGGAAATAGATACAGTAGAAGAAGTAGAAGTCCAAAAAGAGATTAAAAGAGATAGAAAAGTACCAGTCAAAAGAGATCCAATACAAATTCAAGTTCCAGATCATAAGTTAAGAATAGATAGAGATAATCACATAGATCATCTCTATCTAAATGAAAAATGGTCAAAATAAAGAAAAAGAAATTAGAAATTAAATCAATAGTCTTTTTCAGTTTTTTATTCCCTTTCCTATAATTTCTAGACATCTTTTGCTAATTCATAGAAATACATTTAATATGTTTAAATTCTTAAGCAATAGAAATAATAAATAAATTTTGTATATAAATATATTTTTTTAAGACATTTTTACTATTATTTATTCATAGAAAAAATGAATGAAAGATTTGAGTAAAATCTATAAGAGATTCTTTAGAAAGATTGTTTAACATAAAACAAAAATCTACTTCTCAAAGGATAAATTGAGTTATTGAAATTGCAAATAAGAGATTAGAAATTAATCAAACAATAACAAGATTAAGAATTAAAAGAAATAGAAAAGAAATAAGTTATGCAAAATTTAAAAGAAGAATAATAGAAGTAGATTGAAGAAAAAGAGATTTAATTAATTAAATAAAAAAGAGAGCTTCATCTAAGATAAGATGCATGTGAAGACTTATAATTTGAAATTGAATAATAATATTAGCATCTTAAAATACAATAAGAAAATCATAAAATTTTAGATGAATCAATCAAAAGACTTATGGATTGTATTTAAAAATCTAAAAAATCACCACTCAAAAATTAGCAATTTCATAACAGAGTAGCTACATCTCATTCATTTGATGATCGAGTCAATCCTTTTGGAATTATGGGAATGCTAAAGTCTAAAAATAATGTTGATGATTATATACAGAAAGTAGAAAAAATTAATACTTCTAGACTATATGATCATTGATTTAAAAACTATTATATGTATGTATATTTAATTATCATCTCTAATTAATATTTTACTTAAAATAATTAAAATATGATTGAAATTAAAAACAAATAGTTGATTAGAGAATATTATAAATAAGAATCTAATGTGTATAAAATTGGATGGATTACAGTTTATAAAATATACTTTGATATTTTATTTTACAAATAGATTATTAGATTAACAATTATAATTGTTAAAAACAAATTATATTAGATTGAATTTTAATGTAGATAAAATCAACCCTTATACTAAAATTTATCTTAGAATAATACGTTTAATCACTATCAAATAATCCCTCTTACTATTATAAGAAACTCTTTATATGATGATAAAGCCTAAAAATATTTTAAAAATTAAGTAAATATACAAATCTATTTGATAGGAATTTATTTAATCATCTCTTAATCCTAATCTAATTACAAATTTTCAGATTAATTAATCTTAATCAATTCAGATTAGTTTAGCATTAAATTATAAAAAATACAGAATTTTAATACAGGAAAACTTAAAATGAAATGTAGATTAATTAAACAATAATAAATATGCTTAATAAATTGTTTAACAATAATTAATAGAATTCTTATAGATTTTAAATGAAAAATGATAGAATTTAAGAAGCTCTTCTTAAGTTATTTATAATTAATACATTACTATTAGATTATCAAATAATTAATTCTTGCTTAGAATTTATATCTTTATATTTTCTTTTTATTTTAGAATATTAAAAAGCTTATATATATATAAAAGTAATATATTTATTTTTATATTAGTTTTGAACTTAGAGTTGATAAAATAATTTTAAATAAATTATGATTATTTAAATAACAAGAGTAAATAAAGAACATGTATTAAGCTAAGCCTTAATAAATTGATATTTAATTTATTATATTTTTTCTTAACTGAAAATTAAAATAATAGTCTGATAAACTATTCATTTGTTAAAATCATTCTAAATTTTATTTTCTTTAGTTATATTTTAAGAAAAGTTTTCAGTATTTTAAATTTATTCTTATACAATGATAATCAATTAAATAAAATCTCAGAAGTGTATTCAATTATATTGATACTTTAAAATTAGAAATTAGATTTCTATTATAGAATATTTAGTAATGATTAACTAAGTTTAAATCAAAAAGAAAGTATAACTATTGTTTTTAATGTGGTTTAATTTGAAGAAAGAAAAATATAAAAATCCTTAATCATAAAATATTTCAGAAAAATTATTGCTTTATGAAATTTTGTAATAAAAAATAATTTGGTATATAAGTCTTATCGAAAGTATAAATCAAAATAATAATTTGAACTCCAATATTATTTGATTTAAAAAATTTCGATAATTCTATTAAAATAATATTAATAGGATTTAGGATTGCTTGTTACTAATTAAAACTACTTAATTATTATTTAACTTATGATAAAGTAACTAAATAATAGATGAAGAAAGCTCCTACACTATTATAACTAGACTTATTTGAAAACCTATATATTTAATATTATTTCAACTAGAACCCATATTATTGTTTTTCTATTAGAATTTAGGAATAATCTACTTTGAGAAAATGATAATCTACATACATCTTAATGTTATTTTTTAGATAATACTTTTAAATATTTTATTATGACGAAGATACTTATTTATAAGATTATATAATTAAACAAGTGAAAGATAATGCTAATGCTTAATACTACTTCAAATTAAATTTTATAAGGCCAATATGGATGTGATCACAGCTCAAGGTTAGAGAAGTATATTCTTATAATATTGTGTTAGAGTTTAAGAGAACCAATTAAACTTCTATTTAAATTATTCCCATCATGAATACATGATTGTCTTGAGTATTAAAAGCCATTTAATCCCAGTAATATTATAGAAACTTAAAGAAAATTGCAGAGAAATCGAAATAATATTTCTTGGATATATATCCTCTCCAATTGAAGATTCTGATCATGATGCATTATTACAAAAAGTAATAAGTGAGATTCTAAATCAATCGGAAGAGGGTCTGAAACTCGACACATCTAAGAAGGTAACCCTTACATATTACAAAGAGGATTTGTGAATTATTATTTATAGCAATCATTTTGATTAAGAGATGCTTATTTTCTTAAAATCACTTTTATCCCATTTTATTTGTTAGATTTACATATGGATTTAAGATATGCCTTTGTCAATTTTTTTAAATTAATGAGTAGTCTTTTTTATTTTCTAATTTATCTACCAAATTTAAAGACCTTTTGCCATTTACATACGAATTACAATTATTGAAATTCTAAAGTTTACTTTTATCATTTTCATCAACTTATCAAATATTCAATATAGATTTTAGAAAAATAATATTTCTGACAATATATTTGGCTTATTAGAATATAAATTATTAAAAATAATTCTCCGTTGATTTATGTAAAAATTTGTCATTAATAATATTTATTTTTATTTTAATTATGAAATATTTTATTGATTGATAATTTATGTTTAATTATAAATAATATAGCAATGATGTCTAATTAGTATTATAAATAAGGAAATCAAAATAATTTCATTGTTTAATTTAACAAATTAGTATTATTTTCCCTTTAAATTAGTTTTTTACTTGATTTTTTTATATTTAAAATACCTGATTATATGAAAAGATAAAATAAAAGTTGATTAAATTGTTCTATCATATATATATTCTTTATCATCAAATTTTTATAAGGTCTAAAGGATGATTCAATTTATACGTGTAAACTAATATAATGAATCATACTTTCTAAATTTTATAAGATTGAATTGTTTTTTGATAAATTTTTATTATTGCAGTCAGATAATACCAAGACTTATATTGAAAATCAAATTAAATTCTTTTGTTCCAATTCTAAAATTTATAGATAAAATACAACCATAAATGATATAGTTTTTCATAATAAAATTAAAGCGTTGTAAAGATTAAATAATTTGATTAATATGGTTTAATTAAATAATTTTTATTCAATATAAACAAAGATTTTATCTGAAGATTATTTTGAAATAATAGATTAGGGTTTCTTTTGATTTTGATATACATTAGATTGAATCTTATTAGAATATTTAATAATATATTAAATCTATATCTGATTAACAAATTAATAAATAGAAAAATTAAATTATTTATAAAGAATAAAATATAAATTTTATTTAATTAATTAATATAATGTTTAATTTAAATATAGCCATAAAAGATGAAAATTTTTAAATTAATAGGATAATAAATATAATAATTTTATTTATAATTCATATTCTTCTTGATTAAATTACTTTAACAGCTTTCTTGACAACATCTAATATTGCTGTTAAGTTCAAGGATTTTAATTTATCTTCTGCTGCTTATTTATTTAATCCTAATCCTCCAATCATAGGTAAAGCAGCATTGACTATTGCTGCAAAAGTACCTGGTATAGCAAAGGCTTAAACACCAATGAGAATAAATGCCAACACAATTACCAAGTATATTACTAAAACAATAAGTCCTTTTATTAATAAAGGTTTTGAAATTCCTAAATATTCTAAACTTAAAAACATAGTTTAGACTGATATTTCTTACATAATTTCTTTAAATTCATAGAAATCTATCATACATGTCTAAATATTAACTTAATCACCTTTGATAGTAACCAAAACTTCTCTGAATTTATGTTCTGTAATTTCTATATTAATTCTTCTTAAAAATTCAATTACATCACTAGCTTTAACTTATCTTTAACCATTTTTATCTAAAACTCTAAACATATCTTCATATTATAATTCTCTATTATCATTTAATTTAGTCATAACTGAATTCATATATTGCATAGTTCTAACTGTATTTGGATTAACTAATGAAGCCATTTTCTCTTTGATTAATTATTAAGGTGATTACAAACCTACTTAAAAGTCTTTCATTAAACTAATTAAAAGTTGACTATTAGATTAAGATATTTTCATAACTTAAAAGAATTCTGATGTAACTTCATTAAATTTCTTATATTTAATAGCTATAATTGCTTCTATACATTTAACCAAAATTTATAAATCTTTTTCTTATTTTTATCCAAACATAGGTTCCAAGACTGGTTTAACAGCTTTTAGTAATTCTTTTTCATTCATTTCTTTTGCATCCTCTAAAGACTTAATCATTTTTTATGCATTGGATGCAATCAAAAATAATTAAGCTAATGGAATATTATCAAATTTTTTATCATATAATTATTAATTACTGAAACATCCTTTTTAAATTTATTATGGTAATTCTTTCAATTTTTCTATATCTTCAGTTTAATAAAATAAGAATATCATTTTAATGATCTCTCCAATTTCTTTATAATTAGATAATAAAGTAGAAATGGCTTTTAAAAACTTTTCTCCTTTAATATCTTTTGGATCTGATAAACCACTAAACATAATAATAGTAGCTTCAATCACTTCTTTTTAATTCTTTAAAGCTTCAATCTTTGTGATTTCAGATATAAATTATTTTAATATCTTTTATTCTGGATCTGCATGAATTTTATTATTATATAATAATTCAATTAAACTTTGAATTATAATTTATTAAGGAGCTGGTAATTATGAAATATCAAATACTTTTCCTTTTACAAATTCAAAGAATGTTTAGAGATCACTTTCTTAATTTTATTTACACCATGCTAAAAATGCATCTTTATAAAAGCTAACATTCTTTTCTGAAATAGTTGATTGTGAATTATTTTCTTTATTACCAAATTCATAAAATTAATCTAATAATTATGAAAAATCTTCTGGAGCAACTGTTTCAATAAATCCTTTAGAGAATTATGTAAATTTATTAATGGGTTCTTTGGAATTTTCAATAATTGATCCTAACCATATAATTGGATACAACAAAACATTCATTAGTTTAACATTATCAACATTACTAGTAGGATAATTTGATACATTTGCAATTGAACTCAAAGATACTAGTATATTTGAATATTTGGAAAATTATCCTAAATTATTGTTCTTCATAATTTGATAAGATTTAGAAATTAAGACATTTATACTTTTAGAATGATCAACTTCAATTATAGCTTTTACAAATTCCCATGCACTATTATTTTTACCATCTTGTAAAACTTATATTTAACTTTCATATTAAGCAAAGTTTGAATTTGATTTATCTCCTTTAAATAACAATTATAAAATAAATTAGATAACACAAATCAATTATGATTGTTATTATCTATCAATTTTGAATACTTTAATAAGTATTTCTAAGAATCCACTTTATTCATTATCTGCTAATACTTCAGTTTTTCCTTCAAATACAAAATTTAAATATTAAATCAATTTATTAGTAGTTTCTTCTGGAAATACTTCTTTATCTTTTATGAAAGTATTCATAAGTGCAGTTTCAATAATCTTAATTAAATTCTGGTTCATTTAAGATTTAAGTATTTATTAGAATGATTAAGATGAAACTTATTATCTATCTAATTAAGGACTTCTTAATCCAAAGTTCTTAAATTATAATAATAATTCTATTATAAAAGTTCTTATCATTCTTTCAGATAATAATTCAGTTTCTACACCTTCTTATTTTCTACTAAATGCAATTAATGCATACCATGCTTCAACATCACCCAAGAAACATCTTATCATCAATTTTAATGGTGATTTTATTGATGCTTAAATTTCATTACAATCTTATATTAATTCATCAATTCCTAAATTCAATAGATCACTATTATTTTTAAATAAAACTAAATCATTCTAATTTAAATTTTCATATTAATCTCCTATTGAATAATACAAATAACATGCTGGAACTCTAGTAGCTAATTATGAGAATTTTCCAGAAGCTTTAGAATTTTCTAATTAAACTCTTACTAACATTAACATTACAGCATCCATTATTAAATAATCATTACCCCATGTTTTAGTAATGAATCCAGTATCCATAGACTTTGGATTATAAAATAAATCTACTAAAGGTTTTAATTCTTTTCTTTCTGTTTCATTTAATGTTAATCCTAATAAATTATCAATCAATAAATTTAAATTAATTGGCATTTTTTATTTAGATCCTCTAAATTTAGGTTAAGCTCTTTATTTATTTCCTGCACCAAAAATTCCTTCTAAAAGTTTTAAATCTGTTTCTTTTGTCTTTTAATTCTATTATTATCCTTAATTTTCATTTTCTTTTTAAGAAACAGTAAATTATCCAGCATAGTATTACATTAATGAAATCATGATTTATTGAGTTTATTCTGAAGATTAATCACTCTCTAAAACTTCAATTTCACTTTATTTAAATATTTACTTTTTAATTAATTCTAATGATTTATCCCAATATTTAGATCTTATATATCCATATTATGATAAATTTAATTGAGTTAATTTATTAATCAATTAGTATTATAATTATAATTTCTATGATTCTTTTGGTATACTTTTACTCAATTCTTCAAAATAATCTTTTTAATTATTTTTGTTTGATTTACTATTAATATAGATCATTGAAATTGCTGAAATATTAGCATTACTATTATCTCTAAATAATGCTGTCCAAAACTAATTATAATTATCGAATTCAGGTCTATTTTCTAATTATCCATTATTATCTGGTAAAATTCTATAAAATACTTTGCAATATTCTTCATATTAATCATTGAAATTCTTAGAAAGTTCACCTAAACTATCACTTTTTTAAGTAGTGTAATTATACTTTGTACCTCTTACTTCTAATAATGGATCACTCATACCAGGATATAATATCCCTTCCAATTTTATAAAATCAATTTATTATTCAGATGATCTTAATTTAGTAGTATCAAATATTCCTAAAGCTAATAATTTCACCAAAGCAGGTTTATTTAAATTTGTAAGATTTTTGTTATCATAAAAATATAAATATCTTTCAAAGACAGTAAATGCCATATTTATACAAAATTAACCTTTTACATATTAAGCTATAGCTCTATCTTTTCTCTTTTTTATTTATCTCATTTATTTTAATGAATAAATTAAAATTATTGATGATAATGGGAAATAATATTACACTTTACCTTTTGCATGTCCTTTCATAAAATTTTCAATTATATTTAA